GAGACACTGCGGCACATAAACACGGAGACTGTGTGAGAATCATAAAAGTCTGCCGCCCTGTAAAATCTGACCCAATATGAGCAATATGCGTCACTGTAATTGTGTTTATTGGGAGAGGGCCCAGACACTGTGGTAATTACATATTGTTACAGTCTGCATCCCTATATATTTGATTTATGTATTTTGGCTCCAGCTGACAGATAAATAAGAAAAATTGTTATATTAAGCGGTAATAAATATGAATCATTTCGCAATCTGCCAGGAAATAATATTGTAATCTGTGAGGTGGAAGGCTTAAACAATGTATGTATTTGTGTGAGTGTAGAGCATGGTCTGTACTTTGGAGAGAATGATATATCACAGCCAGCTGAGACACAGGTTTGAGTCCTGTTCTGTTTCTGCTCTTAAATACTGGACGTTGTGTACAAGCCAACGGGTCGCTTCAACTGTTTCAGTCAGGAACTATGAGAAAAATAAACAATGGAAGTAAATTATTTGGATAATTATATAGACACCGTTTTTCATTATTTATGACAGATATATAGGGGAGAGTGGGATAGAACTAAAAGGGACTGGAAACAAAAGAGGAAATTTTGTCTATATGCAATAAAATGTAATAGGGTCCGGTGTTGTTTCGGACCTAATTGACTTCCATTATATTGAAGAAAAAAATAGTTTTTTTTGTCTTTTGTGTTAGACAGAAGTTTAAAAAAGTCATATAGGTTTGGAACATCATGAGGACGAGTTAACAGAATTTTCATTTTTTTTAATGAAATTTGGTCTCCTGTCCTCCTATGTCTCCTTTCCACAGAATTGAGAGCTATACCATTAGTATTCTTTAACATGCAAACTGAAAATATGACTAAAAATCATGTATAACTTCGATGAAAGGTTTTGATCCACTTCAAATATTACTGACTGTATATATATATATATATATATTTATATATATATATACACACACACACATTTATATATTAAATAGTGAAGCGATTGTTTTTAGTGAAAACATTTTGCAATGGTATGTGATTAAAGGAAAAAGATATTATGCAACTATTATATATTAATTGCTTACACATCTTACCTTAAGCATGCGGCCCACTTTCATTTTATATGAATCTGAATATGAATCTGTGTGGAGTATATTAATCATTAGTCTTACTGCTGTACAATTAAAGCGCAGCATGTCAAAGTTTTGCCACCCTACTTACTGTACATCCAATCACTCTGGGCCACTCACTCACCATATGCAGCCAGTCCTGCCAGTCAGAGTCAAGCTGTCTCCTCCTGAGTTTCTCTGTCTCCTCTGTCTTCCTTTTGTTTAGCACTCTGTACTCTATCTGTTGAGCATTCGCAAGATTCCGGCCTGACCTTTGCCGGTAATCCTTATAAAACATAAATGCATGATATCTCCGCTTCTCTCTCTCTCACTCTGTCTCTACATAAGACCACCCCATGGCCCTCATTACAAGCATCCCACTGCCACCCGATGTCACTGTCTAATTACAATCACCCTTGATCTGCTCGATCATGACGCGAGACCTGCAGCTCACTGGCGTGCAGTGCCGAGGGTCTTTCCCCCGCAGGCGGTGTGCTGAGCCGGGCCGACAGGACTGATGAGGACGACGCTTCGCTCGCGGCTCTCCCGACAGGCGGAGGATCATTAGTGAACCAGCTGTTAACAAGCAGAGACAGGACAGCCAATATCACTTCCTGTGTGAGTGACACGCCGTGGGTGGCAAAGGAAACGCGAGGCCAGGTGGGCACAAGTTCATCGGATTTAAAACTCCAAATCACCTGCTCTTCCAAGTTTTTCAAGGAATCAATTCATAATTACGCAGCAAATTAATATATTTAGGCTACTTGTATTTGAGGGTGATGTGTTTTTGTGATTATAAATGCTTCTAGCTCTCTTTAGTAAGACTGTTAAAGGAATTATTAACACTAAAATTATAGTTAAACGAATTATTTATTTATCTTAAAGGAATTAATCACCAAAAATAATGATCATTAAATAATTATTTAATATTAAGATCAAGTAAGCCTGATGAATGCTGTGTGACTAAAAATTTGGTGTGTTTTTTTCTCTTTAATAGCTTTTGTTCTTTGCAATCTATTATTTGTCAGGTTCATTGATTTATTGTTTGTTAAAATTATAGTCATGTAAGCCAGATGAAAGTCATGTGACTGAAATATCCAACACAATAGCCTACACTTTAATTTATGGAATTTAATTTAATTTAAAGAATGTCTTGGGTGCTCTTTTATTATAGAAGTGAATGGGGACCGAGTCCATTAAGCTCCAAAATGACCCCAAAAAAGCCAGCATAAAAGTGGTCCATAGAACTATATTCGAAATTTTTAAAGCCATAGTGGCTGCATCCAAAATCGCATACTTCCCTACAATATAGTAGGTGAAAAACAGTAGGCCACCGTGACAAAAGAAGTATGTCTGATTGCACAGTAAATATAAAGCAAAAAGTATGACCTATACTACTTCTGGTGAGATTCTAAAGTTTACATACGACGGACACTTTACTATCCCATGAGGCCAAGGGAGAGGATTTATGAATGGCAGTGAAGCGACGCAACTAAATCTGGTCGGTCACATGATAATGACAACATGGTGAATTTAGTACGTCCAGATTACATTCACACTACACACTATGGAACATACTTTTTAGCGGCTGTGAAGTAATTACTTGTTCAAAATAAGTACTTAGTACTCAAGAGAGTATGTGATTTCGGACACAGCCAATATATTTTTGTTGTCAGTGATGCCAAACATCATTGGCTCTCGCGAGTCATATGACCAGAAGTTATTGATGTCAATGGTGCAACATTTGATTTAAGAGCTGCAGCTCAGAGATTTTAGCAAATACAATTTTAAGTCTCGGTCTGTTCTTTGGACATGGTTTTGTATAACCTGAAAAGACCTTATTTTGGTGCCTGACAGCCCCAGTCCCCATTAATTTTTATTATTTGGAGAGAGAAAAAAGCAGCAGGAAATTTGTAAAAATTCACCTTTTATGCTTCACAGAATGTCGTACGGATTTTTTTTTTTTTTTTTTAATTACGGTAAGTAAATGATGACATGTTTGGCTGAACTATCCATTGTTAAATGTTAATTGTGGTTTGTAGTTAGGTTTTCACAGATGAAGCTACAGTGTATTTGTGTGCGAATGTATGAGTGTGTGTGCGAAAAAGAATGAGAGAGATTAAAAATGATGGTATGACACACTCCCATCAGGACAAAATCCATCACTGTCAGAGGTAGCAGACTAAGAGTAGCAGAGCTCCAAGACCACAGATTCAATTTCACTCCCTTGAGCCATTCAGCCCTGCCCACACGTACAGACACCTTCCATCTGAATAATAGCTCTGCATAGATTTGAATTTTCACTCTGCACTCCAGAACAAGGCCACAGTCCAAGTCTAACATTTAGAGTTTTGTTCCAATATATGAAAATGTAAACAGCTCATTTGTTAAGAGTGTGTGCAAGTTCATAGGAGTCCAGCTCCAATTGTAACTGCATGGAAAAGATCTTCAGAATTAATTTTTAAGGGGTTAACATCATGTTTTCAGTCATTTTAGACCAACATTGCAGTCTTCCTTTATGTTCTGTTGGAGAATATGTATTCTTTTCATTGTCGTATCACGTTTACACAGCGCACACAACGCCGCATCTTACTCATGATTTCTCTCCACATGAGAAGAATATGCATTACTTATTTGGAAAAAGTAACTATTTTGTTGTAAACTTAAAAGTAATGCTTTACTTGTCACTTAAATTCCGATTATGTAACTCGCATTACTTGTAATGCGTTACCCCCAACACTGATTGTATATATTATAATTCATACAGGCCCATGATTACATCCACAAATTCACCTTTGCTGTTTGGTTTCCAATCAAACACCAACTACAGGGGGCACCAGATGCCACCTCTATGGAGTGTGATTGAGTGGACGGACACGCTTGACAGATTTGGAATTACAACTGGAGTGTGTGATCAAAGTTTTAAGGCTGTGGTCCTATCTGCCTTTAAACCACCGTATGTCTCTATTGCTCATGCACAGGGGTCACAATTACATAACTGATCTCTCAGAAAAGCCACATGGATTCATTGGTTGTGAAAATTGGCTGAGAACTCCAGTGTGCTGTAAGCTGATTAATGATTAATGTGCAGCCCTGCCACTTAAAAGACAGAAAAGGTCAGCGGCTCTGCCAAAGGGTTCGAGGTCTCAAAATATTACTGAGAAATGACACGGCAAATGAAGGAAGGAAGGAAAGGTTGTCTTCCCAAAGGTTGTCCCACCTGCAATTCATTTCTTCCTGTTATTTGTGTATTAATAAATTAATTTTAATGATGTGAAATTGCATTGCATTGCTAAATATTGCCATATTTTAAAGGGATAGTTCACCCAAAAATGAAAATTCTGTCATCGTTTATTCACCCTTAAGTTGTTCTAAACCTATACGAGTTTCTTTGTTCTGTTAAACACAAAAGAAGATTTTTTTTTTACTATGGAAGTTAATGGGGACCAGAACCTGACAGGAAGAAATGAATGGCAAGTGGGAAAACGTTTGGGAAACGTTTCCTTCCTTCATCATATGCTGCAGGTTTAGAACAGCATGAGGGTGAGTAAATGACAGAATTTTTATTTTTGGGTGAACTATCCCTTTAAGTAGAAAAATTAGCCAAAATGGTGCAGCTATAGTGACCTAAATATATATAATATAATTACATATAACTGACATATGAAAAGGAAAGAATATAAAACTCCAAAATGGATGATGTTCACTGGCTTCAATCACTCATTAGGTGGAGCTGCATTTAAAATAAAATAGATTAGTGAGTGAACAGTGCCATCCAGTGGAATATCAGTATCACTGTCTTAATCGTTGATTCATGAAACATTGATAAATACACGAATACATATACAATACATTATAAATAAATATATGCAGAAATCTAAATAAATAATAAAAAAATATATCACCATTTTCCCAAAGATTTCTTGAATTTATTCAAATTTGTATGTACCCACAGATGAAAATATCAAATATATTTATTCAAAATTTAGGACATAGAGCTGGAAGACAAAATATGGGCAGAGGTTTGGTAAGGCAAGCTCTATTGAACACATTTTCAAATGGATTAATAATAGGCAGTGTAATTAAGACTTCAAATCGAGCCAGATTTCATAATATAATAAGAATTCTCATCGTGAAACACACAAATTAGCATCGCAACACTGCAAATGATGGGGTCACAAATTTGTGGGATGTGAACAGTTATACATACAGACTCTGTCAGGAGCAGTGTCATGCAAGACCATAATAGACAGTTTATCAGAATTCAGTGAGTGTTTACAAAAAGTGCAGCACTTATTATACCAATGTGTACCTAGTGAAAACATAAACTGAAGATCTCAGTTTAAGATAAGACATAAAGCACAATTTAATATCAAAATCTGATATTACTATTACAACACTACACCTATAAAATGACTGAATTTTAAGTATGTAATAGCTGCACTACACTGGCAGCTATTTGGTGAATCGAAAATCACAAGTTCAGTGGGTGTTGTTCATCTCCCAAGTGTGTCTTCATCATTCTAATGTGATTACTTCTGACTCAAATCCCACCAGTCGCTCTAGGTACCTACCAACTAGAGTGAATATCCAAGTAAAAGTCATACCTACATCAGCTAAAGTAGCGATCACTGTAGTAAAACAGCAGCGCTATGATTCATAAGGCCCAGCCTTTCACAGTAGCTTCCTCAAAGCAAAGTCTCCTCCATCCGGATCCTTCAGAGAGAGGGATGCTGCACTATTTTCAGTGTCAACCCCTCCATGCTTATAAAAATCAGCCACTAGAGGGGGTATCTGACTGATTCTCTCACTGAAGTCTGTTATGTTCCTTCCCCTTTGCCTTCTTCCTGCTTCGGTTCGGAGTCTGAAAAGCTCTGGCTCTTCTCTCCATCATTCCCTGACTCTGAGAGTGAAAAAAATAAGAACATCAACAAGAGCAGATACTCGACACCCTACGGCAGGGCAGGATGTTTAGCAGTTGCTGTAATGCTTTTTCTTAAAGGAGAACTCCGGTCAATTTTAACATTGAGCTCATTTTTTTGTACATTTGGAGTGCTGTCAGTACAGACAAAAACGACAAAAATCGGTGTTGCCTACACCGTGTTATCCTCTTTTTAAAATTCACACCCTGTTGACTTCAATGGGGCAAGTTCTAAACCTGCTTTTAGCCTCTTAACAACTTTAATATGTCATTACAAGTGAACAGCCATGTGAGTGGTGTTATTAAGAGTGACCACGGTCAATCTGACTGCAGTAGATGTGAAAGATATTAATAAAAATGATGTTAATTCAGCCAGCTCACATACCTGTATTTACTTCCTGTTTTCGTTCGAAGTCCACAGTAGTCAATTGTTGAGTTCGCGCGCGCGATCATTGTTAACTAATATAACTAATGATCGCGCGCGCGAACTCGACAATTGACTACTGTGGACTTCGAACGAAAACAGGAAGTAAATACAGGTATGTGAGCTGGCTGAATTAACATCATTTTTATTAATATCTTTCACATCTACTGCAGTCAGATTGACCGTGGTCACTCTTAATAACACCACTCACATGGCTGTGCACTTGTAATGACATATTAAGGTTGTTAAGAGGCTAAAAGCAGGTTTAGAACTTGCCCCATTGAAGTCAACAGGGTGCGAATTTTAAAAAGAGGATAACACAGTGTAGGCAACACCGATTTTTGTCGTTTTTGTCTGTACTGACAGCACTCCAAATGTACAAAAAAATGAGCTCAATGTTAAAATTGACCGGATTTCTCCTTTAAGGATGCCCTCAGCTAACAGGCCTATATTTGATAAAGCACATCCATGTTTGTCTTGAGCTAAAAACTGGTGTGGGAAGCCACTAACAGGCCCTCTAAACTCTCTAGGTTGCCCAAAGCAGGTTTGTCTGATACATTATTCATGGCCAGCCTGCCTCTCAGTGCCATATTACATTACTGCAGTGTTTTGATGACACTCCATGTTCTTTCTGAAGGAGCAGTGATAAGTTAAGGGGACTTTATTCACCTGCTTTGCTGATATTGAGCTCAGAAAGAGTTTGGGAGAGTCCACTAGCATCCAGCCCGCCGGAGGTTCCCAGTATTTCGTGCACAGCATTGCGTCTGCCGGTCCTTGCAGAGGCGATGAAGTCTTCATATGTCACCTCGACATCAGTCATATCTAATACATTTCAACATAGCAGTGCCTGTGACAGACAGAGATGGTTTTATTTGGTCAAACACAGATCTGCTGTGGCATGCAGATGCCTCGCAAGTCATTTAATAGAAAAAACTCAAGTGACTAAGAAATAAGTGCACTTAAAAGGTTAGTTCATCCAAAAATTATCCCATAATTTACTCACCCTCAAGCCATCCTAGGTGTATATGACAGCGTACGGGACCTAATTTAGATCGTACAGTCTTAAGTAATTACAGACCTATATCGAAATGACCTTTTTTATATTTATATTAGTTAATTTCTATATCAAAATTACCTAAAGGTTTAAAGAAGGTTGTTTTATCACAACTTGTTCCGTATATGTGAATGCTGTAATAGATATGTTCCAGTCAGATTTTAGGTCCCTTCATAGTACAGAATCTGCCCCCCTTAAGGTGTTTAATGATATTTTATTAGCAGTTGATTCTGGAAAGGTAGTTATCCTTATTCTACTCGATCTCAAAGCTGCTTTTGATACCACTGATTATGGCATTTTATTAAATGTTTAAAATATTTCTTTGTTGAATTTTTGTACTTCATTCAAAAAGAAAATATGCAACAATCTAGAAATTATACAGCTACAATGTACACTATCATTTAAAAGTTAAAACATTTTTTTAAAGGAATTAAATCTATTATTCAGCATTAAATTGATCAAAAGTAACAGTTATAACTTTACAATTTTCTAATAAATACTGTTCTTTTGAACTTTCTATTCATCAAAGAATCATGGAAAAATGAATCATGGGTTCCACAAAAATATTAAGCAGCACAAATGTTTCCTGAGCACCAAATAAGCATATTATAATGATTTATGAAGGATTATGTGACACTGTAAACTGGAGTAATAATAGCTACTGAAAATTAGCTTTGCCATTACAGGAATACATTACATTTTAAAATATGTTCAGATAGAAAAATATATTTTAAATTGTAATAATATTTCACAATATATCTGTTTTTACTGTATTTTGGTCAAATAAATACAGCCTTGGTGAGCATAAGAGACTTAAAACTTAAAAAAAGGAAAGTGTTACTCCTTAGATTCACACATTTCAAACTGAGTTAATTACTAAACAGTGTTTGAACAAAGACTGTTATAACTATTAGGAATCCCAAACAGCAATGTAAAGACTGTACAAGGAGCCATAATCTGGCCTAGATAAGAAGATAAGCTTGGATAAGGGACTGTTTATTCTGTCACACATTTGTGATCTCATGCATTTCTAAATTGTCCTTCTGGATTTCTTATCTGAGACTCCTCTATATATTGTGTGTGGGGGGAAAAAAGTCCCATAAAATGTTTTAATGTTCTGATCCCTCAAACACGTTAAAACAGATGTGGCACAAATCTGCGAGATTATCTCGAATTTTGTTGAACTAAATATCACTCATGAGATGCAAGGACAGTCTTCCCTGAGCTCAGAGTTATATTTAGCGCATGCTATCATCTCAGTACAGTCATTCTCAGCTGTTGCCTTCAAAATGGTGCAACTGTGTGGTGAAACACACATAATGAGGTCATCATTACAGGGCTGTTTCACAGTATTAAAAAATAGCACAGGATTTCACATACTCTATTTCTCCAACTAAAATATTTACTTTTCGATTCTCCAGGTTCTGGTTGCTGAATAAGTGAAATAATAATAAAACTATATGTGTATTGTTTTAACTGTATGCATAAATACAGAAAATGGTGCCCCTATAATGCTTTTTCAGATATTATACCTTTCATGTAGTGTGTAATATAGCTGTTTGTGAAAAGGTCTGCAAATTTTTTTTATATCAAAGTGGTTAATAAATGGAGTTATTGTCTCTCAAAAGGAACAACTGATTCTGAACTGCCTGAAACAAGTTGTCAGTAATTCAAATCTTACTTCCTGCACAAACACAGGTTTTCAACAAATCTGCATAATGTTCTATGCCTATGTTCTTCATTGGCTGCCTGCAAACAAAGCCCACTTTGACCTGCCCGCAAACACTGTAGTTGTAGCTGAGGCCTAGAAGAGTTTGATTCTTGTTGTCAAAATGTCGAGAAGACGCTGTTTTCTGCGTTGCGAAAGCAGATCCACTTTGCATGCACTTCCAAAGAATGAGGACTGAATTGGAAGTGGCTCGAATTGAAATGGTAAAACCGCCATCGTTACTGTTCATTTCACTACATACAAGTGCTGAAGAAGTTTCCAGAGCTGAAATTCTGATATGGTAATGGGCGTTTAGTTTCCAACACCGTAAGCGGTAGACCAATCACAACAGACTACGCCATCTGACCAATCAGAGCAGAGTAGGCTCTCAGAAAGGAGGGGTTTAGAGAGACTGAATCCTTTAATCAAACCATTTCAGACGCTGTGAGAAAAAAAGGTAATGCTCCCATGTATATTGAGAAAATGAAAGGGTTTATTTTTCTATTGTAAGAGTCCTCTAAAACTAAACTAGGAAACTTTAAAATAGCATAATAGGGGCACATTAAGGGTGCACATAGGCTACTTTTTATCACCACTGCACTTAATATACCATCGTATCATATCTATTAAAATGTGTCTGTCTGTAAACACCAAATGAATTGTCTATGTATTAATGGGAAAGAGATGTAATTTAAAGCTCACTTGGCACAGGAGTTCAGGTCTAAGTCCAAAAAAATCAATATGGACTTGAGTGAGCAGTTCCTCAAGGCAACATTGACAACCATGCAGAAGAGATGTCACACACTTCCCTGACTATGCCTCAGAGACCTCTGTGGAATCCACCAACCCACCCTCTGAAAAAGTTTGTGCAACAGTTTGGACAAAACAGCCCAAACAAACCGACATATAGCAATAAAGGTTGGTACAGCAACCCTACACATTTTACATAAAGAACAAGGCAGAGCTAAAGTAGATCGGAGCAGAGATGGGTGTGTCTCTTTTTTTGCATAAGGTGCACACCACTGATGCTTGAGTCCTGGGATAGAACAGGTTGCAAAACTTAGAAAATAAAAGTTTATGTACCAAGGAATTAACTTGATATATAAAATATATTAGTGTTCAAGATAAATTATTGAGGACGAACACAGAATTTAATTTCACACAGTTTTATAAATGGTTTCAAAAATATCTGATGGTAAAATATGCATTTCTTTATATTTCAGTTTAAAGAGCCACTCATTTTAATTGAAGTACTGAGGTATGATCTGAGAACAGGTGAGGAGGTGAGTACACCTGAGTGATAATGCAATGTTTCTAGTTAATACTAATATCTAGAGTCAAATGAAATAGTCATTTACATTTTACATTTTGGATTAATTTGAAAACTTTTTTGCGGTTTGAAAAACCAAAGGCAAGTTGCGTGACGTGTCCTGTTATTCCTGTGTCTCAGGAATCAGTACCACTATAAGGCCGCAAATCAATCCAATGTCCTCCAACAAGCGCTCTACAAATGAACCAACTACAAACAGTAGGCCTAGTATATTAATAAATTATAAGAGCTCTAATGAGTTACAATGTGCAACATAATAAGGGTGAGATAATCTTAAAAATTGCTTCATTCATAACTATAGCCTACCCTTCAATGCCCTAAACTCAGAATATAAATTACCTTATTAATTGAAACCAAACTGAAACTAAAACACATGTCTGGTTAAATGTAATGTTGTGATAGGCTATTCTAGTTATGCCACTGTTTAAACGAACACACCATCTATTCGTGACAATTTGACAGATTTATGTATTATTAGAGCGTAAAATGCACTAGTTTATATGATGCAAAATGAAGAAAATACAGAAATATAAACGTTTGTGGGTCTCGTCCTTGTCACGTGCATAAGACAATAACATCAAAACGTAGTATCAACATGTCATATCCAAATATGACAGCTACAAGTGCAAATCTCAGTGAAGAAATTATTTCATTTACAGCACAACATACTGCGTTTGAGCTTATATGAATGCACCGGTTATATAAATCTGACAGGCTACAGCACAGATGCTAATGTCTACGCGAGTAAATCTATCATAAAATGCGATTAAGAAGGCTTATAAAGTCGAGCGAATCCGCAAATCGTACCTGTTGTAGGCTAGACGTTTTTCTTCTCGTCAAGGCTGTGCAGTTTTGTCGCTCTTGTTAACACTTCAGTGGGATGCGACGGTGCTGTCAGAGCTGCTGCTGCTGCTGCTGCCTCAGTTCATGAGTCTGCATGAGAAGAAAGGGATGACGTATGAGCGTTCCTGAGAGCTGATGATATGCGAGGATTATCCAAAACCCATCATATCTGATTATGCTCAGTGGTGAGGAGTTGGATTCATCTCAGTGATTCGAATCTTTCTAATCTAACCTGTTCACTGATTTGCATGACTCTTTGTTTTGGGTTTCATCGTACTCCAGTAGGTGGCGACAGTGAGTCGTGTTTTATGTGACTCGTTCACTTTTAAACGGGTAGGCTATATGCTATCGGTAATTTTTACATTCTTTTTTCCCCTTCTTTTTTTTTTTTACCGCACAATTTATCTCCTTGTTGAAACTAATTGCTTTACACGTCATGCCTGATTCACTGATTCTTGTTCACGATAGGTCACGCGGTCAAAATAATGTATTTAATGAAAGTAGCCTATGACGTATGGAAGTGAACGAAAACGATTTTAACCTTTTTTAAATGTACATTAAAGGGTAAAAAACAAAACAATCAAAAGGCTATTTAACACAGCGAGCCATGTTGAAATATAGCAGGCCTATGTCATTTCAAATAAAACATTTCATTGAGTAAATTCAGGACAGTGCAGCTGTTGTTTGACATGCATTCCCATCTGTGCTTGGATTCTAACCACTAGTTCAGTATTTAAAAGGGCTCTATTGTTCGAGATTTCGTCCAGACATGTTGATTTGTTGCTTCCCAGTGCCTTGTGAATAAGATTAAAGAGTTTAATATGGTGCAATATGACATCTCAATTGCAATAGACTCAATTAAATGTTTGATTGCAAATTGTAGTTTTGGTCTATGGACATTGCCAGTAGATATAAGAAGAAGAAAAATTACTTAGGCCCTATATAAAAACAACAACATGCTAAAGTAATTATACCATTTGAAAATATTTTTCGAAAAAGCCGTATATAATGTTAGTGGAAGATTATTCATCTTTCTGTAGCCTGGTGGTCGCCTCCCACGTTCCATCTAGCGGCTAGATGTAGGTACTACACAGCGTTTATTTCTTTATTTCTGCAGGGAAACGGGGAAACGGGAAAAGACCAATCAAAAACAAGGATACTAGCATGTGGAACGGCCGGCTAACTAGAAGAACCAAGTTGCTACAGCATCGTCCTTAGTGTCTTACCAAGCAGGAAAGATGGATGAAATAGAAGGTAAGGATTTAAATAAGCAAAAGATGCATATGTAAATATATGGAATATTGTGCATCTAACCTCTAACACTCAGTCCGGGTGTTTGTATAATGGAGAGCAGCTTTGGTTTATTCAGTGCTGTTGTTTGAGGTTATCACCACGGAAGAGAATGACGTTTTGTAGGAAAATAATGACGTTTAACTGTTATTTTAGGGTCTATATGTATACACACACACACACGCGCGCGCACACACACATATATCACACTCATATATATATATATATATATATATATATATATGCTTTTGTTGTGACATTTGATTCAGCAAACTTGATTCCATTTCACTAAATTGTTCTGGTGTAGGTCTGTTTAAACATAAGAGAAAACAAGGTCAAATGCTTTACGTACCATTCAGGATCCTTTTTTCTTTCTCCCTACAAACTGACATTCTTCAGACTGACAGGATTGACCTATTTTCACATACTGCTGCTTGATCTGTTCTCATTTGTTTAACTAATCCAAAGCCACTGTATCTGAGTAAACTGGCTGCATAGACACACCCAAACAGACTGAACTACTCTTTGCTCTTTATCATTTTTGTGTTTGTTATTTCTGTGTTATGATGATCTGTTTCTATTTATATTTTTTGTTTGTCTTCAGAATCTCCTCCTGTTTCTGAAGACCTGGTGCCCTGCAAAATATGTGGAAGAAGTTTTTTTTCGAGGGTGATTGTAAGTATGTCTTTATAGATGATGAACTGACAGCTGATGGTTGATATAGATTATTTTGCCATTAAAATGTGCTTGCAAACATAAAAAAAAAAAAATCCCTACAGGATATAATCACAGGGTTCCCACGGGTCCTTGAAATCCTTGAAAGTTTGTGAATCTGAAAAAAAAAAAATGTCAAGGCCCTGGAAAGTTTTGGAAAATAAACATGCATAGATACAGGTCCTTGAAAGTGCTTGAACTTATTTTGTGCAAGAAGTTTTCTAGAAAAAAAACCATTTTATTCCCTCCGGTCCGCTAATGTGTTATTTCTAGGGCTGTCAACGTTAATGCGTGAACGCATGCGATTAATTTTTGTCCAGTTTAATGCGTTAAAATATTTAACGCAATTAACGAAGCATCCGTTAATGTTTGTCATCCAATGGCTAGCGTTACATTATGATCCCGCTCTTATTCATGCAAATGCTTTTAAACCATTCAAGCGCAGCAAGACAAAAAAGAACACGCTGCCTGTCTATGTGACACACACACGACGCACAGAAAGACGTGTGCCAGAATCGTGCGCCAGAATCGAGTTCTCCTTTGCGCTTGAACGAACAATAACACACACAATTATACCAAAATGTCCATTTTGTCGAGTATCCTCATAACATAAGAGCAGACTTAAATGAGTTCAATAAAGTCTTAAATGAGCGTAAAGAGTTGTGGGAGAATGAAGCGCGTTTGAGATTTGCGTCATGTGCAGAAGCGGCTGGTTTTAAAGGGACAGATTAATTATATATTTAATTTATGCAGTGCAGACTGTTTGATAACTTTATTCAATTTCTATTTATTGTTCTGTGTGTTAGACAGGTAGGAAGGGCACAGGTAAATATGACATTTATTATGGGTTTATGTGAGGATTGTTTGAAGTTCACTTAAATTTAAAGTTGTTATATTTTTTGAAGCTTAATAAATGTTAAAAAAAATTGATAGCTTTCAATTACACTGTAATGTTTAAAATTGGGGGTAAATCATTTTTGTCCAGACATCAATAGCTGTTATTAGTATCAGTGATACTGACCTTAATTCATAAAAAGATGCCATTAAACAAGTATTTGAAATATATTGTCTTTATGTTGTCTCTACATGAATTTGAAGATTAACTGTGAAATTATTACATTATAAAATATATAAACCTTTAAAAACGTAAGTGTTTTTAATTGCGATTAATCACAGAAAAAATTGGTGATTTAATCGAGTTAATTTTTTTTAATTGATTGAGAGCACTAGTTATTTCGCCAACACTTCATGTCCTATGCATACTAGCTTGCTTGATTTACGTTAGTTACGTGCATTTACGTGTTACGTTAAGTGTTTCCCACGCGAGGTACTTTTTTGTTGTATGTTGCCATGACGTTCACACGCGCACAAAACTACTGCGATGGTACCTCAGAAATACGACAAATAGAATATCATATCTGTCATATGGCCAAAAAAAAGAAGCTTTTTTGCATTGTTGTGTTTGACACATGAAAACTGTAACAATGTATCTTATAGGGGTGCACGATTCAGAAAATGTCACGATTCGATTCGATACCGATTTTTTGTCTCAAGATTCGATTCAAAATCGATTTTCGATTCAAAAACGATTCTCGATTCAAAAAACGATTCGCAGTATATAAATGTAGTCTACTTTTTCCTGTGATTGATTGCAGTAGAGACAATTTAGAAGAAAAAAAAACACAACAAATTAAATGTAGTTTGATATTACTTTATATGACTTCATACAAAAATAAACTAAAAAGTGCAAAGTGCCAAGCTTTGGCCAGCTTACATTTAATTCAAGTTTAAAATAAAACTTAAATAGAAGCTTTTACATTTAGCTTTAAAGTGCTGTAGTCAGATCAAACAAACAATTATGCTAAATGTGGTTTAAGGACTACTTCAGCTAGGTTGACTGTTGAAATGTGAACTCGACGGGGCACATTGAACTTCCTAAAAATATATACTAATGTCATAGAACCCTTGCGAAATTATTTTAAATAGATTTTAAAAAGCCACCGCTACTGGTAACATCTATGGTTTAGATTGATTTGTTTAGATCCAGTGAAGTCGTTCATAGGCGTAATTTGCGGGTATCTCCAGTTAACTAGCAGAGCCTTCATTTAGTTCGCTATTAAATAAGAGATCTGTTGTTTTTGAAATCAAGCTGAGCGCTCGTTGCCGCTGCTATCAGTGTCATGGATACAGTGTTCTCTGTGGCTCGCGCAGTCTTCACTCGGACGCGCGCTTCAATCTATCGCCGTTGGGGAGACTCCGGTAAAATCACAAAATAAAATGCTCACAAACGTGATGAACATATTGGGTTTTGATGAGAGAGAGAAAACACTATACGAGTGCGGTTTAGAACCCGTAACCTCTGACAAGCTTGGCAAAAGATCTACAGAACTCAAACATAAGATCTGCGGATCGATGCATTTATTTACGGGTTGAGCAGAGGCTGCACAGTTTGACCAGCGGGCGGCAAGAACTTGCAATGTATAACTATTTATCAGACCGGCCCTCGCAGCCTCGAAACACTACCGGACCACCGGTAAAAGTCCCGACTCACCCGATTGCCACTCCGCCCGTGCACGCCATTAAAAAAAATATATATGAATCGATTTTTGGAATTCTATGAATCGATTCTGAATCGGTAAAGATTGAATCGCGATTCAAATGTGAATCGATTTTTTTGCACACCCCTAGTATCTTACAAGGTAACGCGATGTAACCTTGCTCTCACTTGAAATGTGTCCCCACATTAAGTCCTTGAATTTGAGGGTATTGGACCTGGAAAGTCCTTGAAAGGTCTTTGAATTTGATGTTAACCAAGGTGTGGGAACCTAATAATATTCTGCTATATGTTATCATATGTGCATTATTATGGTACTAGTATGTTACAGTATGTACACTACCGTGCAAAAGTGTTTTTTAAGAAAGTCTTTTATACTCACCAAGGCTGCAATTATTTTATCAAAAATACAGTAAAAAATAGTAATATTGTGAAATATTATTACAATTTTAAACATCTCTTTTAATATATTTCAAATTTGTATTTATTCCTGTGACAGTAAAGCAGAATTTTCAGCATCATTACTTCAGTGTCACGTCACGTGATCCTTCTGAAATCATTCTAATATGCTGATTTACTACTGAAAAAATAGCCTATATATTTTGATAATGTGAATGATAATGGTCAACATTATCAATGGTGAAAACAGTTGTGCTGCTTAATATTTTGTAGAAACAATGATATATATATTTTTTTCAGGATTCTTTAATGAATAGAAAGTTCAAAAGAACAGCATTTATTTGAAATATGAATCTTTTGTAACATTATAAAGGACTTCGCTGTCTTTTTTAAAAATTAATTTAATGTATTCTTAATTAATAAAAGTACAAATGTCATTCCAAAAAAAAAAAGTTGTTACTGACCCCAAACCTTAGTGCCCATTACTGGTTGCCTAGCAATATACTAACCAATTATATTGTTGCAGTTGCTATATTAGGAAGTTGCTATATCAATATAGCAGTTGCTAGATCAAGATTAGCAACAAGGCATGTATTTCTCACAGGTCACTATGTAAACACAAATCCTGGTATTATTACCCTGTCAACGCAGTGCTGTCACAGTTATTTCATACCCGCCCACCTTATTATCTGTTGTAGAAAAAACATGTGCCGATCTGCCAGAAGACAGTGGCAAAGAGAAGGAAGGTGTTTGACTCCAGCAGGCAAAGGGCAGAGGGGACCGATATTTCTACAGTCAAACCCATAAAACCAAAGGTGAGGAAACAACCACACCATGTTCACAGATGATGAGATGTGAACCGTGAGTGATTACATGCAGTATATAGTTGATACTGATGCACATTCAGGAACAGTGTAGTTGCTGTCACCATAAAATCCATCTGCAGTGGCAAAAGTGTAATTCGCTACCATCATCTTAGTATTATTAGAACAACATAAGAAAAAAGGCAAAGAATCCATACATTTTACTGGATTTTATTGCAGTTTCCAGCACTAGTTAAAGGAGCTGTATGTAAGAAATGTATTTCAATTAATCATAAAATGGCCCTTATGTGTCTCTAGACATTAATAAATCATGTTCATTTCAAATACTTAAATCACTGACAACAATAGTACGGCCACGATATTGTCATTTAAAAAGTGAAGTTGCAGCCCTCAACTGATGTTGATGTTGTCATCTTGTGTTTTGGCCTGAAGCCCCACCCTCCACCTATCTACCAATCACGAAGTCAGTAGTGTTTCGGCATCCGGGTTGCCAGCTCTGCTCTAGTTGAAAGCTCCTTGTAGCAGCCTACTTTCCTGCTGGATCCTGCAGCCTATCTGGCAACCTCGAGTCAGGGGGGAGGGGGAGGGGATACACCGCTCTACAGTAATTTGAAAGTAATTGCAGTACCAGTTTTGGCCACAATCTTACATACAGCTCCTTTAATAATATCTAACAATAATACTACTAATAAAGGTATTTTCTAAGGCTAGTTTACACTGCTCCAACACACTTACATCCTATGAGTGTCTCAACTTGGGTGGTCTGGTATAATGATTTTGATTTGATAGTGAACCATTGAGTCATTGACAGTCATTGACAGTCATTGACAGTCATTGACAGTCATTGACAGTCATTGACAGTCATTGACAGTCATTGACAGTCATTGACAGTCATTGACAGTCATTGACAATGAGTGCATTTAGTTGCACATTATTAACGCGATTATGCTTAATAAGCTGACAATGCATATGGTTGTAAACTCTTTAAGCTGTTTTCCAACTAGATTTTTGCCTCTTATCCCAATTTTGCCTGGCATGTAAACACGTTAACCTGCATTCTATTGGCTTATTGAAGTGTGCATGTGTAATATGTGACAGGAAACGTCCTTATTGTGGATTTAAGCGCATTTAGACAGAGCGAGCGTTAATCGGTAGGGCAGGAGGAAATATATTGATGCTTTGGGCATATGCTTTTATCCAAAATGACTTGCAGCGCTTTCAAGGTATTTTTCTATATTAAGAAAAATAAATTATTTGTTATGCATCAAAATACATCAAGGTTCACAAGGTGTATTAATTCAAAACAAAGAGCAACCTAAAAATCAAAAGTCCCTAGCAATCTAAAGAAATCTAAAATTCTATAATAAATAAATAAAATAAAAAATCTTGGAGGACATAATTTTGAACTTCTCTTTTTTCACTTTTTTTTTGTACATTTGTTGATTTTGTCCAAATTCTTCCTGACCATAGACCTCAATTTACATGCCTCTTGTCTATAGATTTGGTGTGAAGATTCCTTATTACTGATTTTTGCTAGCATTTGGGTTTCCGGGCAATTGCTAGTGTCATTCTTTATCAGTTGGTCTAATGCAGTGTTTTCCAATCCTGATCCTGAAGGACCCCCAAACACTGCACGTTTTCTTTGTCTCCCTAATCAAACACACATGATTCAACTCATCAGCTCATTATCACATGGGGATATACATAGACATAATAGAGAGTAGACGCCCTATCGACCGCTACTGCCTACTGGTGCGGACGAGCCGCGGGGCCGCCATCTTAGACCGGTCACCCACTCCGCTCAGTGTAATCTGTTTGGCAGGTGCAATGAGCTGTCAGCGCATTTAACCCTCTGGGGTCTAAGGTGTTTTTGGGGTCCTTGAGATGTTTTGACGTGCCCTGACATTTGTGCTTTTTTCAGTTGCTTATAAACATATTAATGGCACAGGTGAAATTACACTCTATTTAGCACAAACAGGGCTACCATAATATGTGAGCAACATGTATGTACATGTTTGTATTTTTGAGAGAATATTGTTTATGCATGGTTATTGAAAAAACTAAAAATTAAAGTTTCTGAAATAAGGCCACAAAACACATACTAAATATGTGTCCACTAAACTTTTGACTAATGGATGTTGTCGCCTAGAGTTTTTGCTTCAAAATTATCTGAAAATCATCCTGCCTAATCATTCACATAAAACAATAGATTGTTTTAAATTGTGAAAAACATTTTTTTGTTTGGAAAGGCAATATGCGAATAGCGTGAATGGCCCAACCCCCTCATGAATAATTAGGTGGTTCTCACCTGAGAAGACAAAGACCCGCATTATAATGAGCCTTTCATTCAGGTGTGTCACACAAGAATGTGAGGACAATATATATACATATATGTACACACACACACACACACACACACACACACACACATATATATATATATATATATATATATATATATATATATGCACTTAAGAATAAATAACTTGCTACATCAGCTGAATCCGTGCTCCTCGAAATGAAACTACCAGCACTTCTGAGCCGAGGTAACTTTTCCAGGATTATTACGATAGTATTATTCCTCACAGCGCAGCAAGACGAGGTAAAGTACAAGATTCTTATTAAACTGGATGTTTTATCCAGCTAATGTGGCCGTTTTCATGGCTTGCCTCAACATTTGCATTTGAATAGCGCACGCTCTCAGTGGGCGTGTCACATTAACACAGAACATAGACTGTAAAAAAATATGGACGTAGTATCCGTGACGTCACCCGTAGGTTTCTGAAGAGCGTTTTTAAAGCCTAAAGTGGCTGTCGCTGACCGTCGCCATCTTGGCAGCACGTCACCTTTCGTCACTCCCGGTTAAAATAAAATGGGCAAAGAGGCGGGACGTGGGTGGAGCTGAGGTGCTAATGCTATATGCTACTGGCCTCGCGCTAAAGTGACAGCTGTTTGAAGAAGTAAAGCCAATAGTTAATGTTTTTGCCCTTCAAAATACTACAATAGTTAATAGACGTAACTAAAAGTGAGACTATTTACTTAACTTTATCAACTTTATTAATCCGACAAGGGGCAATTCGTTTAGAGCAGCGTGTATACAACAGTACATAACACAGATCACACACATTTCTCACAACATACAAGCAGTCAACTATGTGTATCGTGATGCATTATTATTCTGCTAGTTAAACATGTATTATCATGCAGACAGTAACTTACAATATTGCTCTGAGTTTGTGCGTGTGACAGTGATTCATGCGCGTAACGTTACTTGTCAGTCAGCATGGCATCACACGTCAAGTTCGTAAAGAGCTTTATTCAGTCCATTTTAAAATCTGATTTTGGCCGCCTCTCAATTTCTCAGATGGGTTAAACCAAAGATATTACCTGAGAAGTTCAAGTAAATGAACTAGAAATCCACGCTCATTTAAGTGTGTGCATCTTTTGCATGGACGGAGAGAAAGCACTGACACCTGCAGGATTTCATCTGACGGTACTTTTTATTTTACACTAAAAAGTTAAATAAGCAAATCTGTTCCGTGAGAGCAACAGTAACGTTACCGCATAACGAGTGTGGTCTCTATATCTACAGACGTTTTTAAATCTAAACTCCAAAAAGCAATGAAATTGTCAGACATCCATTAGTCCATGCGAGGGAAACAACTGGAAATACAGCGCTGGTTGTTCTCTCCATACTCGACAACGACGGAATCCAACGGCGTGCATGGGCGAAGGTATAATACGTGTATTAAATTGTATGAAATAATCCCGAAAAAAGCACAAACACAGCTGAGGGTGACGCTAACAGACAGCAGACAAACGACTAGGAGTGACAACAGCAGCAGCAATCCACCTGTCACTCAAGTGGCCACGCCCTTAATTATGCAGAACTTTAAGGCTTAATATAATTTAAACGGATGAGTTGTAAAAAAATTCACCCCCCTCACAGTCGTCATGAAGGGCAAAATTAGCTATATAGACCAAAACAACTATTTGCCACCAGGCTGTAAACATATTTTTTTCTGCTGTGAAGTTGGGCATTTTAACATGGGGGAGATACAGATTTGACTCCCTTTTGCTGTCAGCCTCAAGCGGCCAGTTGATGAATTGCAGTTTAATTCACTTCCGTGTTGGTTTCAAGAGAGAGACGGGGAGGTTGCCGCTTGGTAATAAACTATAATGAGCTGAAAGGAAAAAGACTGACATCTCTCTCTTTTCATACAGTTTACATAAACTGAGAATATTTGTTTTTTTTATATAAATTACTTCATTTAAAAGAAGATAATTTCAGCTTCATAACGAAAAATCTTTCGTGCCTGTGTGACAAGTATTTACCTAGTCACAGTTCATTTTCGGACATGTTTCAGAATGAACTTCACTGACAGAGAGAAGGCAAAATTCGCATCATGTTTATTTTTCTTTATTTGACAAAAAGCAGAACACTTTGTTTTTGTTGTGAGTATCCACAAAAAAGATAGACACTTAACAGGATATAATGATGTACAACACTTATATGTAAGATCAAAATCAACAGAGTAATTTGAGTCTCTTTTGCACTGATAAGAAAAAAAGTGAGCTCGTCGCGCCGACGCGATAGCCGACCCCAGAGAGTTAATTAATCATATCTCACTGAATACCAAACTGATTTTCACGCGGGTTTTTTTGCTGCAAAGGTCATACATGTAGCTATGATACAGGACACATGGTACAAATGCACAAAATACAACCAATAGTACGGTAATGTTAACTCCTACTTGTGAAAAGTAATCCCCTGAGCCCTATTTGCGATGGTCCGCCGATTTGAGCAGGAATATGCTGCACAGTGCTCTGGCATCTTAACTGCTGCTATGCAACGCAATTAGGAGTATGACCGGTTAAAGATGGCGGCCGTATTTCTTGCGCCCAGCGGCCAATAGGGCGTCTAGCTCTATATGTCTATGGGGATATATGTGATAATGAGCTGATGAGTTGAATCAGGTGTGTTTGATTACGGAGACAAAGAAAACGTGCAGTGTTGGGGGTCCTTCAGGAGCAGGATTGGGAAACACTGGTCTAATGGAATGTCATATATGTCTGCACCCATAGCTTCATGTTTGTTTGGGCAGTGTAAACGGGACCGTTGTTTCTCAGCTTACTTGTTTGACATGTTAAGTGAACATGCCTTGGAACAGTCAAACTCTGGTTTGGCCTCAAGCAAGAAGCATTTGGTAAATGTGAAGAATACCTCGGTCTCACAAAGAGCCTCTGTTCAGAAACTTTTCCTCCACGGCTAGCCACAAATCTACCCCAATGTCCTAAAATATTCTGAAACCCCTTTTGATTATGTTTCAGTTACAAAGTTCTTCCAGCAGCTCTAAGTCTGATAAAGTAAGTTGAATGTTTGACTTTGTTTATTTTTTTTCTCATAACTGAATTTTGTGTCTCAACATGTCGTTTCTGATATTAAGGCTTTAGTGTTTAATTTTGCTACCTTAAAAAAATGGGCCCTTTTAAATCTCAAGTGGAGGCAGCTCCTGCAATTTCTTAAATATTATTTTTGTAGTTTGTAGATTTCTAAAAGAGTTACAAGTTCACCAAGGAATCCCACCTTAAATCTAGCCATTACTGTCATAGTAGGTCTGTGATTAATTAATGACGTCTACAAGAATATTAGATCAGGAAACTACTGTACTACTCCTGTCAGATCTTCCTATCCTCAAAGAGGAGCTGTGTCCTTAGCCTGAGGGAGTCATTTGGTCATGTTGATCTATGTGTCCTGACATACAAAAGTAATTTTTTGTTAAAAAAACAGTGGTTCCCTTTCATGTCAGTCACTCCAACGCTCGTCGGAGGGATCTGACAGAAATGGGATCTTCGCAGAAAGACCAATCTACTTCAAGAGAAGCTAAACAAGCCAATGCACATTGGCATGTGTTAATTGCGCCAGCTGCTTCTATCACGCAGTGCAGGTATATAATGAGCAGCAGGTGCAACGCATCTTTGCATTTCGCTTCGGAGCCGAGCTGATTCATGTTCTGTTCCAGCAGTCTTACTTCTAAAGAAGAGACAACTTTCAAGTATTCTTTTTGGAAAAAGCCCTCTCCTTCGTGTTGGTGTCACGGCGCGCTACAGCAGGATCACTCTTATCACTCACTCTGAGCGTGGCGGTTCGGTTGAGTGCCTCAGCGGATTGCACTATTTCCCGCTGTTGGCCGCGGACATCCCCCTGTGCGCTTCAGCACTAGAGAGAGCAAATCTTTCCTAAAAGAGCTTACACGAGTGTGACATTCCACTTGTGTGTTCGGTCGTGCGGTCGTTCCCAGTCCTCATGTGACGGCCACGATCACTGTCTCGCATGCCTGGGCTTAAGCATGCTGAAACTGCGTTCGTGGGTGGTTCATGTTCTCTCAGCAGAACATGACCACGTCGGCACGTTGTTTGTCTTCCCTTTCTCGCAAGGGCTTGAGCGTTCAACGCGCCGTGTGCCGTCGAGCTGCTGGTGCACGGGTTGTCACGGCAGCCCATCGCATCGTGCGGCACTCTAGATGCGCAGTCGAGACTCGAGTACCTCACACGAGGTGGAGTCACTTTGCCTATTCCCCGATCTAGTTCCTCTACTGGTGGCCACCAGAAAAGGGCTACTTTGACTAATAGCACTGGTGATCTGAGGATTACAGTGAGCGTTCCCCGACGAGACCACCTCCTCGGGCCCCTCACTCCTCTAGCGCATCGCAAGCATGTTGAGACTATGTTTGTGGGTGGTTAATGTTCTCTCAGGAGAACATGGCCACGTCGGTGTGTTGTTCATCTTGCCTTTCTCGTAAGGACATGATCGTTCAGCGCACCGTGTGCCGTCGAGTTTGACGGCCACATTCGCGGTCTCGCATGCCTGCCAGATAGCCTCCTGGGGCATATGGCATCTGCAGCCGCAGTAATGCCACTCGGGTTGCTTCATATGAGAATGCTTCAACACTGGCTTCACCGCCGGGTCCCAAGATGGGCGTGGCAGAGCAGCACGTACCTGGTTTCCATTATTCCGCACTGTCGCCAAACCTTCAGCCCGTGGTCGAACCCTTCGTTTCTACGGGCAGGTGTTCCCCTAGAACAGTGGTTCTCAAACTTTTTCGGTCATTCCCCACTTTGGACAAGGGGGAATTTTCAAGCCCCACCTGCCCCATCGCCCTGACACAATGCTAATGAAATACGTAACAAGCTTAAAATGTTCCAATTTATTGAAGTAACAAGTAGTATCAGTATAGTAACACGTTGTATCTAAATACAAACTAACTATCTACATCAAATAACAGCAAGTTCAAAAATACAGAGAATGAAGTGCATCTGTGTCATAACTTGCATGAAATTCATAAATAGAGAAAATAAAAGTGCCTCAAAAATAGAAAAGAAATAAAAGTGCCACTTTGCAATCTGTTCAAAAAAGAAAAGAAGAGAAATCCATTTGGCAAGACAGGTCTATTTGTCCCTGCATTAGTGACTGCAATGAGCCTGTTTTGCATTGCACAATTTCTCAAAGCAGGGTTGCAGGCTTGATACTGCCACTCTCATGTTCAATGTTCAGAGAAATTTCATGTCTTGTCGTAAGCCACAACATAATGACGTCACATATTTGCCAACCCAGCCCTCAGCCCCTAGCCTGGCATGCCAGACCTACATCAAGATGTTAGGTCTGGGAACTCATCATTGACAGGGCTCAATCTGATGGGCGGGATAAACGGTTGTCTTTCAAATTCTCTCAGCACGCAATTGGATAGCGCTACAACCAATCAGAGCAACGAAGAAGGGGACGTAGTCAGCGGAGCAAGTTGATATATTAAACTTTTACCGTATCCAGTCCATAGCTGTCAACATTGAACATTGAAAATAAGGGAGATTTCAAGGAATCCATCCCCAAAATAAGGGATTTTTTTTGTTTTTTACACGACCCACAAACTTTAAAAATAAAACACTAATCATTAAAAGTCTAAAGAGTTTATAACTAGCCTATGTGTGAGAGAGAAAGAGACTGTGTGTGTGTGTGTGTGTGTGTGTGTGTGTGTGTGTGTGTGTGTGTGTGTGTGTGTGTGTGTGTGTGTGTGTGTGTGTGTGTGTGTGTGTGTGTGTGTGTGTGTGTGTGTGTGTGTGTGTGTGTGTGTGTGTGTGTGTGTGTGTGTGTGTGTGTGAAAGAGTCATTAAAACATTTTTTGTCATTAAAATAATAATATCATAGAGAATGTTTAAATACTAATATCAGCTTACGAGGGAAACGGAGGCGGAGTAGTGGTGCTTCGGAGTGCTGGAGATGATTCGGAGGTCCTTTACCGATCAGAGCGCGCGCTGACACGGAGTAAATAAAGCCTTTATACTCGACGCGTCCGCACGAGTGCGGCAAAAATGACAAGTTGATCGTTTCGCCACAGCTTTTTTGTAACAGCGCGCGCGGCGCCGCATCCGAGGATGAATGACTTCAAACCGAATATGTCCGAGCTTGCTCTGACCGTCGCAACTCTGCCGTCATTGTGTTAAGCCCGCCCACCAACTCTATACACGATGTGATTGGCCTGACCAGTTTTTGTTTTTTCCAGCTAAAACGTCTATGGAGAGTTGCTAGACCACACTGGCAGCGAAATGATTTTTGCTGCCGCTAGGGTGCGTCTAGATTTCTAGGCTACTCAGCCCCAACTTACGCATGAAACAGCTTCCAGCGCGCCTGGCCATCGGCGCGAAACATAGGCTACATATCTATGGGCGCAAAAGTTTGTTCCGCTACAATTAATATGCCGACGTCACGTCAATCATTATTTTGGGGGTGGGGAATTCCTGTTACTTGTTGTCGCCCCCGGGGGTGAACCGGTCTAATACGCGGCAACACACAGCTATAAGGACGGTTTGCTCTCACACGCGCTGCATTAATAGTCACACACACACACACGCGCGCGCGCGCGCTCTCAGTCACTCTCTACTGTAGTGCGCGGTCTTGCTCCAGATTCCGGGAGATTGGATCTCATTTGCGGGCGTCAAGGAGCCGCTATCAATATGCGGGAGACTCCCGGAACATTTGGGATGTCTGGATAAAGATATAAAGGCATAAAAAGGAAAATTTCCTCCCGTTTGGCGCGCCCCACCTGTCACGTCTCTATTCCCCACCAGTGGGGCGCGCCCCACACTTTGAGAACCGCTGCCCTAGAACAAGTGTCCAGGCATGCTGTGGTCTTCACGGAGGCCTCTACCACCGGCTGGGGGCCAAGTACAATGGGCATCCAGCTTCGGGTCTGTGGACGGGGCCTCAGCTGCATTGGCATATCAATTGCCTCGAGTTGCTGGCAGTACGTCTTGCTCTCGGTCACTTCAAGGAGCTGCTTCGAGACAATTATGTACTACAGACAGCACTGCGACCGTTGCGTACATCAACCCACAAGGTGGTCTGCGCTCCCGTCGCATGTGGCAACTCGCCCGCCATCTCCTATTGAGTCAGAATCATCTGAGGTCGCTTCGTGCCATTCACATCCCTAACGAGCTCAATCGTGCAGCCGACGAGCTCTCATGACAGCTTACGCTTCCGGGAAAGTGGCGACTCCATCCCCAGGTGGTCCAGCTGATTTGGAGGCACTTCGGGGCCGCACAGGTAGATCTGTTTGCCTTGCCAGACATGTCACATTGCCAGTTGTTCTTCTCCCTGACTGATGGAACCCTTGGCACAGATGCACAGGCACACAGCTGGCCCTGGGGCATACACAACTATGCGTTTCCCCCAGTGAGCCTTCTTGCACAGACCTTGTGCAAAGTCAGGGAGGACGAGGATCAGGTCCTGTTAGTGGCCCCCTATTGGCCCAACCGGACCTGGTTTCCAGAACTAGTACTCCTCGCGACAGTCCCTCCCTGGCCCATTCCTCTGAGGAAGGACCTGCTTTCTCAGAGACGGGCACCCTATGGCACCTGCGTTTAGACCTCTGGAAACTCCATGTCTGCTCCCTGGATGGGAAGCGGAGGTTCTAAGTGACTTACCCCCGGGCGGTGGTAGACACAATCACTTCTGCTAGAGCCCCCTCTATGAGGCGCCTCTATGTATTGAAGTGGAACCTATTCGTTGAGTGGTGTTCTTCCCCGAAGATGCCCTGTTGGAGTTGTGCTTTCCTTCCGCTAAGATGGGTTAGAGCGAAGGTTGTCTCCCTCCACCCTCAAGGTTTATGTTGCCACTATTGCCTCGCATCACGATGCAGTAGAGGGTAAGTCATTGGGAACCGCTTTGAACCGCTGCAGTCTGCAGATCTAAAGATCCTGTCACTAAAGACAGTGCTCCTGACGGCGCTGGCTTCAATCAAGAAGGTTGACGAATCATGCCTTCCTTCTGGGCATTGGCTCAAGGCGCCTCGCTGACAGATATATGTAGAGCTGCGGGCTGGGCGACACCCAATACATTCGCTAGATTCTATAGCCTTCGTGTAGAGCCGGTATACTCGCCCAAAGTGACCAGTAGCGCAGTGAACCCGCTCAAGTGCCGGCTTGCTATGCCATTCTCGCCTGGTCGGCCAGATGTATGCGTCTATTTGCTCAAGTGTGTTCCCCTGGAGACGGCTAACCCTGTTGCTAACCCTGTTGTGTTCCCTCAACGAAAACCAAAGATGTGTTGCACCTGCTGCTCATTATATACCCGCACTGCGTGATAGAAGCAGCTGGCGCAATTATCGCATGCCAATGTGCATTGGCTCATTTAGTTTCTCTCAAAGTAGATTGGTCTCTCTGCGAAGATCCCATTTTTGTCAGATCCCTCCGACAAACGTCTCCGTTCCTTCTTTCAGGGAACGTGGGTTACCATACGTAACCGAGATGTTTCCTTTCGAAGTGGAACTCAACACTGCGCCTTGAATTGATGCAATGGAGAACAGCAGTGTGACCGGTGTCTGAAGCACGTGTGTACACAACCACAACGACGACAGTCCATGACGTCATCACCGGGGCGCCTGGTGCAGCATGGAGGAGTGTGTATTTGTTCCCCATAGCGTCAATCCCAAGACGCAGTGTTGAGTTCCACTTCGAAAGGGAACGCATCAGGTTACGACTGTAACTAGGGATGTAACGATTCACTCACAACCGGTTGAAAATCGATAAAAATGTGTGACGATTCAAGTCGGTTGAAATGTTAAACGAATCGCGCTTTAAATAGCAGGGGCGTTTACTGTATAGCCTACTGTGAAGTTGTGTACCTCGCTTTACAGGCACAATAGCAGCGAGCACACACTGGCGCGAAGCTAGCGAGTGTTTTCACTTCATTCATGGAAGTTGAGCTTGTGTGAGCCAAGCTCAACTTCTATAGGAATGAACTGAAAATGCTCGGTTTGCTCCGCTCGTGCTGCGCCAGTGTGTGGCATAGACTGGTGTGCACGCGCCGTCAAACACATGGCGACGGTAAGTGTAGATGTTGACATTGACTCAATCAAATCGGAGGTGTGGCGGCATTTTGACTTTCCGTAGACTAATAATAATCACCACCGTGAGAAGCACCAGTCACCTCCGTTTTCATGTAAAATGCATTAATACGACAAGTGCTAGAGCCACGGAGATCACAAGGTGCATCAGTGTATTCGTGGCAACCAGGTGTTGTATTTATTTTACTATCTCTTTCTCTAAATGTTACATGGATTTTTAAAAAAATGATAATTTATTGATGGTTATGGCATATTTTTCTAAATGTTTTTTTTTTTTAACTCTTGCTAGTGATTAAAATTAAAATCTTAAATGTAGTTTTTTTTATTTGACAAATGTATTTTAAAATGAAAAAGAAATGTGCATTTTTTTTCTGAGAAATAATAAAAGGGACACTTTTTCATTTATAATTTCTTAAATCTCACTTGTTAAAATCGTGAGAAAATCGTATCATGAAACCCGTATCGTGAATCGTATCCCATCGTGAGTTGAGTGAATCGTTACATCCCTAACTGTAACCATGGTTCCCTGAGTCTCCTGCGTCTCGTCAGGTGATGACGTCATGGACTGTCTTCGGCCAATGAAATAGTCATGTTTACACGCATGCTTCAGAGACTGGTCACACTGGTGTTCCCCATAGCGTCAATCCAAGGCGCAGTGTAGTGTTGCACGATATACCGGTACTAGAAAGGTATCACGATACCCTGCTTTTAAAAACGGAATGATTCTTCATTTTATTACTGGTACTTTAAGAGTGACAGCTGTATTTCCTGATGTGCAAATATTATATAGACTATATGATAGAGATACACTCACCTAAAGGATTATTAGGAACACCTGTTCAATTTCTCATTAATGCAATTATCTAATCAACCAATCACATGGCAGTTGCTTCAATGCATTTAGGGGTGTGGTCCTGGTCAAGACAATCTCCTGAACTTCAAACTGAATGTCAGAATGGGAAAGAAAGGTGATTTAAGCAATTTTGAGCGTGGCATGGTTGTTGGTGCCAGACGGGCCGGTTTGAGTATTTCACAATCTGCTCAGTTACTGGGATTTTCACGCACAACCATTTCTAGGGTTTACAAAGAATGGTGTGAAAAGGGAAAAACATCCAGTATGCGGATGCTAGAGGTCAGAGGAGAATGGGCCGACTAATTCAAGCTGATAGAAGAACAACTTTGACTGAAATAATCACCCGTTACAACCGAGGTATGCAGCAAAGCATTTGTGAAGCCACAACACGCACAACCTTGAGGCGGATGGGCTACAACAGCAGAAGATCCCACCGGGTACCACTCATCTCCACTACAAATAGGAAAAAGAGGCTACAATTTGCAAGAGCTCACCAAAATTGGACAGTTGAAGACTGGAAAAATGTTGCCTGGTCTGATGAGTCTCGATTTCTGTTGAGACATTCAGATGGAGTCAGAATTTGGCGTAAACAGAATGAGAACATGGATCCATCATGCCTTGTTACCACTGTGCAGGCTGGTGGTGGTGGTGTAATGGTGTGGGGGATGTTTTCTTGGCACACTTTAGGCCCCTTAGTGCCAATTGGGCATCGTTTAAATGCCACGGCCTACCTGAGCATTGTTTCTGACCATGTCCATCCCTTTATGGCCACCATGTACCCATCCTCTGATGGCTACTTCCAGCAGGATAATGCACCATGTCACAAAGCTCGAATCATTTCAAATTGGTTTCTTGATCATGACAATGAGTTCACTGTACTAAAATGGCCCCCACAGTCACCAGATCTCAACCCAATAGAGCATCTTTGGGATGTGGTGGAACGGGAGCTTCGTGCCCTGGATGTGCATCCCACAGATCTCCATCAACTGCAAGATGCTATCCTATCAATATGGGCCAACATTTCTAAAGAATGCTTTCAGCACCTTGTTGAATCAACGTAGAATTAAGGAAGTTCTGAAGGCGAAAAGGGGTCAAACACAGTATTAGTATGGTGTTCCTAATAATCCTTTAGATGAGTGTATATAAAAGATTAAATACAGCACTAGGAACTTGATGGACAAACAGAATACCTTAAATCTACCTATGCAAAAGCTAATTCACAATGAGCCTACTTCCTGGAACTCCACCTTTTGATATGGTGGAAAGATTTTGTATACAGCAACCAGCCATCTGTGCCATTTTGGCTGAAAATCGGAAGTGGCATCTGATGCCTAAAGACTCTGAAATGGCAACACTAGAATTTGTGAGAGAGGTCATTGGCTTCCAAGCAGTTTTACCGATGTTTTAAGTCGAGAGAAAGACCCCACATTGTCTTCTGTGTTGCCTCTCAATTGGAAACTACGTTCCATACCAACAGTAAAGGGAGGAGAAAGCACTCTTTCATGTGAAATGAAAGAAAAAATAAGACTTAAGACTTCACAGCAAGTTATGAAAGCAGACTTCTAGACACTGTTCTAGACCCAAGATTTAAGGAGAGCTTTGTTATCGTGGAGGAAGAGGTGAAAGCAGTACTTTTACAGAAATCTGTTGAAGCTTCACTACAGCAAAAGAATGAGGCCTAAGCACCAGAGCAACAGAAACAAGATCAAGGAGGGGCAAAAGAAAGAAAAACAGTCTGCTCTCTCCACCATCAAGTTTGAAAATATGAAGTCAGTAGTGGCAGCAGGTGGGGCTGAAGGATTCCCCTGCTGACCAACTAAGTGAATTCTTGTTGTACAAACAAATGGCAGGGATAAGTGCTTCTGAAGACCCACTCAGCTGGTGGAAGAACCATGCAGCCCCCATGCCAACTGTCCATGTCTTGCACATTTAGCCAGGAAGTGCATGTGCAGTCCAGCCTAAAGCTGTGTTTAGCACATCAGGCTTTATCATTAGACTGACTGAGGAGCACTCTTGTTTTCCTTGCTAAAAACCTGGAAATGGCCAAAGAACTGTCCAAGTCCAAGAGAGAATATGACAGAAAGGTTCAGGTTTTCACATGTCCATGTTCTGTTGACAAAAATCTTTATATTGTGAACCAATGTTTGTTTAAATAAACATAGCTATAAATCTCAGCAGTTGCAACAACAATAATGTTTTTTGTTAGACCCTGTAGCTGACATCAAAAACTGAGAAGCTTTTTGTTTATTAATAAATAATAGACAGAACGTTTTGTTGTTGTTATTTACTTTTCCTGATGTTTTAGGTTTTTGCCATAGTATCGGTATCGTGTTATTTAAGTTAGGTATCGTATCGACGTCAAAGTTTTGGTATTGTGACAACACTAGCGCAGCACCTCTTTCCCCTTCTCAGGGAGTCATGGTTACTGTCGTAAACTTGAGGCGTTACATGTTGTAATGATGACAAAGCTGCTTGCTTTCAAACTTCTTTATTACCAGAAACTAAGCATATCAGTAGATAAAAATAATTAACCATGATTAATTTTGTGATTCCAGATGTTTCAAGAACTACACGTTCTTCTGTAAAACCAACAGTTGAGGGGACAAATTGACAAATGTTGGTTACATGTTGTTCATCATGATTTCAATAAAATTAAATAAAGTTTTAATAATTGTATCACTTAATTTTAATTTGCATTCACAATGTATAGGTACAATATTATTATTGTTGTTATTTTTTAATTTAATGGTCACTATGGATGCATATCAGCCAATATTTGGATATTTAATTGTTCATACACCTTTACCCTATTCTTACATTTGACTGTTTTTAAATACTTTTGATGTATTTTTTTTTAGTTTTAAGTGTTTTTGTCTTCCATTTTCAATTTACAAAAAATATAGAATAGTATACTATTGACCCTTTATCGTTTTCAAAGCATGAAAATATTTATCAGAATTTTAATAATGGTACATAACTACATCGTAAGTAATTAATTCATGTATGGGCCCCTTGGAGGTTATGTAGTAGGTGATATAGGGAATTTATATTATCCTTTTAAACTAAATGTTTGCTTTTAAACAGCCTGAACCACCCAAGAAACAGTCGAATTGGCGCCGAAAGCATGAAGAATTCATTGCCACCATTCGCGCTGCCAAAGGCTTAGATCAAGTCATAAAAGATGGTGGACCCCTTCCTCCACCCCCTCCTCCATCCTATGATCCAGGTAAAAAAAAAAAAAAACGTTTTATTGACACTTGGAATAGTTACAGTAATATCAGTAAAAACATTAACAGCTATTGACTTCTTCAGATTATATCCAGTGTCCCTATTGCCAGCGACGCTTTAGTGAGAATGCAGCAGATCGCCACATCAAATTCTGTAAGGAGCAAGCATCCAGAATCTCCAATAAGAGCAAGGTTCCTGGAAGTGAGAAAGCTAAACCCCCAGCCAGGATTCCGGTGAGGTTTCACTCACTGTGAACATTACTTGAACCACGTAATTTTTTAGGAATTTGAATTAAGCTAATTTATTTCTCAAAAATGGTTGGCATACACACCAGTATACACACCTTCTTTACTTAACATGCGCATAAATTGTAAGAATATCACTAACACTGATAAATAAACAGTAAAAGGTAAGGCTATTAAATAGCAGCCTCAAACTAGTTTTTGTTAATACATTAAGTTAGCAAGTTGGTATAAGCCACTTCACTTCAGCCATTCTTCGTATTGCCATAATTATATTTTACTCAATTACAGTGCCTTGAGTGGGTTGATATAAACATTGCATGTTCCTGTGTCTGCAGTACAAACCTCCACCACAAAAGAAGGCAAACTCTCCCGCTGTACCTATTGTGTCCTCTCGTCTACCTCAGCGCTCAGCCTATGGGCAGGGTGCTGGCACGGGTATGGACTCATATTTTAGTTATTTTTCCTCCATTTTGCCACTGACATATTTGATAAATTATTTCTCTCTTGTTATTTTGTCAAGATTCACTTTTGTGATTTTAATAAAAACTATAATTAAAATAATAATTATAAAAATAACAAAAGTGCACAACATAATTACCAAAACTTTAACTTAAATTAAAATAAATTAAAAAAGTGTATATATATATATATATATATATATATAAAAAATAAAAAACTATTACAGTATCTCAATGATACTAAAATACTAAAATAATACTGGCTCCTAGAAGATGATATATGTAAGGGCCAATACTATCTGAACCTGTTCCTAACACAAAGCAATTTTATGGTTGCTGTAGACTTGCAATACAGATCATGAAATGTAGAGATGATACTTTTTAATCATATTAAAATAAGCACATCAAAACCCCTTTTCCCCTCTCCATCCACAGGGATTCCCAGCAGCAAAACCTCATCCATAGGCTCAGTTAGGAGCTCATCATCAGGATATTCTCCGTTACAGAACAACTCATTCGACTTGAACAGCCCTCCCTCTGAGTAAGACAACGAGTCACTGACTAATCCTGATTTTTGACATTATCGCCAGGCTTTTATGACCATCATTGTACTTGTGTTTGCAGAGGGAACGTGAAACCCAAGGGTATGGTTTTGCAAAACTCCCTGAGAAGTCCACCTTCTGGTATAGGGATGAATAAGAAGAAAGTCCAAAATGCAGATAATTCAAGGTATGATGTTACAAGTTTTGCTGTACTGCACTGTAGGTCTGTAGTCAACCAAAGAAATCCTTAGTCGACCAAAGTCCTGTCCTGCGCAACGATCAGTCGACTAAAAAAAAAAAAACCTGCGATGTTTTGCATTTTGATTGAACATTTATTAAACAATTGTCATAGAGCATTTATAAAACAACAACGTAAAAACATCAATAATACATGTTGGAGAATTTCATATTTCCTATGAGTCTGAATGCTGTAATGCCAAGCAGAAAAACTAGGTCACAGGGCATGTGAGGATAGGGCACATGGACAAGAGAGTGGAAAAGTACCCAAAAAACTTGGCTAATGCTTCCTTTTACAGTACAGTACTTACGTGTACTTACAGTGTACTTACCTAGAAAGTACTGGCTAATAAAAGGTAAGTACATGGGTTAGGGGTAGGTTCAGGGTTAGTATCTAGTTATTACCCAGTAATTGTAATTACTATAATAAGTACATAGTATGTACATGGGTAACAGGACTGTAAAAGGAAGCGTTACCAAAACTTGTAGCACAGATGCAGGTGTTGGGAAGCACTGGAAGAGAAACATATTGTATACAATGTAACGATGTGCCACCAAGAAAAGGATACTAAAACAAGATGTCCATTGTGTAAAAAGATACTAATACAGATGCCCATTGTGTAAAAAGATACTCATACAAACCAGAGGCGGCGCCAGGGGGGGTCTTGGGGGGTCTCAAGACCCTCCCAAAAAATGCTTTGACCCCCCATTTGACCCCCCACCCCCTTCCTGATTAAAAAAATATATATCCGGGATAAATATTTAAAAATGTTTATCTTCAAACTACGCAGAACAATAATAATTAATAATTTATTCGACGTACAAAATATATAAACATAAGAATCACGTTCCCTCTAAGCTGCGCGCGTGCGCGGTTGTGCACTTCTGATGCCGCGGCCGCGCAGAAAAGAATAATATGCCACGCAGAGGACTGACGCGAAATGTGTGGGGAAATCCATTTGATTGTATGTGAGAAATAATTGCAGTGCTCAAACTGGTGAGTGCAGTTTACAGGTTTCAAAGAAAGAGAATGATGTGAGCGCGTGTGATTGGCAGTCAGTCGTGTGTGCGGACCAAATATCTCAATACGAGAGGCGACGAGAAACGCAAAGACATGTGAAATAAAATCACAATATCATGTTTTAAAGAAGAGTGGTTTGATTAAAGTGGTGGAAATAACGGATGATGGACACAGAACGGTAACAATTGCAGACACCCACCCGCGTGCAAACTCAAAATACATCATTAGTTTACATAGATTTAAATAGTTTCAGGCATGGTTAGATTAGGCGACTATAAAAGAGTTCACATATTCACTTTTCTTGAAAATATTTAGCTATTAGATCTAGCTATTTACAGTAAATGCTTCAGTTTGTTTTCATATTATAATAATATATTATGAAAACAAATTGAAGCATTTAAACTATCACTTCAAATACTTCAATTCTCTTTTTTATATTATATTATATTGGGCATATATTTTATTATATTATAAGCCTAAATAAAGAATCTCACAAGGGTATTGTTTAGGGCTCATTGCCATTAAAAAGTTTGAAACCCCCTGCTAAAGAAAATATAGGCTAGGAAATTCATAAGCTATAAACAATCATTTAACTTTGATGGTTTAATGCTGCCTGTACAATTAATTGACTGTACAAAAACACTTTATGGTTTTCCTAAACCATCTCAGTGTAACAGCTTAATTTTCTTTTATAATATATTATATTATTGTAAAGAATTGAACTGTCCTGCAGAAGATTTTGTAAATAATTTTTCATAGGATTTCTTAGTAAAGACTGGAAACAGAGGACACCGAGGAATTGGAGGATGAGGAGGATACTATTTTGTAAATATGTTTTCTGTCATGGGTGTGGCTATGGCAATTAAAGTTCGAGCATATTGTTTGCAAACTGCAATTGATTAATTAATTAAAAACAAAAAACCGTCGGTGTGTGAATGGGTGAATGTGAGGCAATATGTAAAGCGCTTTGGTGGCCATTGGGTCTGTGAAAGCGCTATATAAATGCAGTCCATTTACCATTTGTTAAGTAGCATATTGTTTGCAAACTGCAATTGATTGATTAAAAACAAAGTAGTTGATATGCTGTGTTGTTTTTGTTGTTAAGTAGCAGCAATATGCAGTTATTAGCCGTGTCCACTGTATTTTTTGTTGGTTTTCATGAGACCCCCCTTGAAATGACCAGGACCCCCCATTGCCCCCCCAATCAAAATTGTCTGGAGCCGCCACTGATACAAACGCTAATTGGATACTAACGATAAGAAAAAGGTATAAGACTAGAGCACTGGCCCATGAAAGATCAGGGGCCTCATGTACAAAGACTTGCGTTGAATTCATACTAAAACATTGCGTACGGACAAAGCTGTAAATGTGCGTACGCACAAAAAAAAGCAGATGTATGAATCTCTGCGTACGAAGGATCCCACGCATATTCTCTTTGTACATCCCAATTTACGTAAAATTGAGCGCACATGCACGAGCACAACGCCCCACCCAGTCTCCTCCCCCAATTAAATTAATTTAAATATGGTAATTAGTCCAATTTGGCAAAAGAAACCTGCAAGAACATGGCTAAAGCAAGCAAGAAACGAAATTTCACTGAAAATGTATTCTGTGTGAAAGTGCAATTTATTCCTGTGATCAAAGCTGAATTTTCAGCATAATTTCTCCAGTCTTCAGTGTCACATGATCCTTCAGAAATCATTCTAATATGATGATTTGATGATCAAGAAACATTTTTGAGTATTATCAGTGTTGAAAACAGGTGTGCTTCTGCTTCATATTTTCGTGGAAACCGTGATAAAGTATTTTCAGGATTCTTTAATGAATAAAAACTTAAATCAAACAGATATAGAAATCTTATAATCTTTTGTAACATTATTAATGCATTTACTCTCACTTTTAAACAAATTCAATGTGTCCTTGCTGAATAAAAATATTACTTTCTTTTTTATCTTTACTGACCGAATTAATGAAGTTTATTTTTTATTCCTAGTTAAGCCAACACTGCCATTGCTAGACGGGTTGTATCAATTTGCACATGCTTTATATATGTTCTTACCTAATTGCATAATAGAATATTTTAATAAGACTCGTGTGACAATAATATGTCAAATAATTTATCAATTATAAATTATAAGCAATATCTGACAGCTGGTGGTGCGATAGAACAATTCGTAGTGTAATGTTTGCCACTTCACTTTATTGCCTCTATGAGTCGCCAACGGACAAAAATCACGACAAATGTACGTACGCCAGACATGAAGTTTACTTGGAGGAACGCACATTCTTACGTTAATTTCACTGTTAGTACATCTGGCCTTGAACGTGAAAGCTGTCGTACGCCGTGTTTTTGTGCGTACGCAGTGTTGATACATGAGGCCCCAGATGAGTAGCTGTCATCTCACTTTGTTGAACTGCTCAATAAAGTTAATTCTCCTGAGACCTGAAACTTCGACTCTGAAAGATTTCTTCTGAGACCTGAACCAGACTTTGAAGACTTGAACCAAAGATCGAGAATTTGCCACAACATACATAAAACTATAATAATAATACAATTCTTTGAAAATTAAGTGATTTTTTTTTTTAACTGCAAAGTGAGGAGCTCTGTCCTAGGTCTATAGTGACAGTCACAATCGTGCACCTGACCACACCACGCGCTACAAAAAATATAACTGCTAAAACTGCCAAATAATGAAAAATCCTAACAAAAGCTCTCGTTTATACAGGCTTTAGCTATATTCTTCTTTACTTTCAAAGCTATGGGTTAACTTTTGTCCAGCCGATCTAGGCGTTTTAAAACAAACACACAAAAAACCCAAATAGCCTAAAAAACAATCCTAATAATAATAGGCTGTATAGTAGGAAGGCATATAGGTTTATTTTCGTTTTGTTGTATTATTTAGGCTATTTTCAAACGCGTCAAGTGTACAAATAAAAACCAAAACATAAGAAAACACAATCTATTGAGTCAGCATAATAAAGCCGTTAAAGGGCCTGCTCACATATCGCGTCTTTTGCGCGCTCAAGTTCGTTATTTCAAATGTAGGCCCGCGCGGTATGCGCGCTCATAATGGAAGCGACGCGCTCGTTTTTTCCAAGCGCGCCCGTGCCGCAGCAGCAGTGCAGCCAGCCACAGGTGCAGTTCCCGAGTGTTCTACGTGGTGGGCTAAACTGTGGCGCTGTTACAAAATAGCCTAAATTACAGCATTTAAAGTTGGGGATAAAACATAGGCTAATTAATACAGTAATATATAACTGCTTATAAAGGAATAAATGTCAAGGAGTAAATCAATGAAAATTTATTTTTATTGGTAAAAAAAAAAAAATGCAACTGGTCGACCAATGAGAATGTCAGTCGACCAAGATGGCATCGACCGATTAGTCGACGAAAGTTGACAGCCCTACTGCACTGCTACATTCTTGGGACTGATGACGAATGCAAATGAAATGGACTGACAGGTCCATCAACTCCTTAATGGGTCCCTATTCAAGCAGAACACTTGAGTTCACTGCATCAGTTACAAAAGGTCTATAGTTGTCCATGTTTTAGGCCAGTTTTCCTAAATCTTTTTGGTTGCAGTTTTGAATAGTCAACATTGACTCATTCACATCTTGGTCTTGTTTATAGGAATGATGTGAAGAAAGAACATGAAAACAATTACTCTACAATAGGCACCAAGTTTTGCCATGAGTGTGGGACCAAGTACCCCGTGGACTGGGCCAAGTTTTGCTGCGAGTGTGGCGTGAAACGAATGTACATTTAAAATAGTACAAATCATAGAAAGACTGACTCACTGTAGCTGGAAAATCTGAGCGTTCCTTTCCAACCCACTAGTGTACTTGGCAAAATCCATGTGCTGTACAAATATTTCACTCAATCTGCTTCTATAGACTTAACCCCATCTTACCCTTCTGCTCAGTTTTTTTTAATGAAAGTGCAATATGGTTGGTTACTGCTACAAAAGGAGTATTATCACAGTTAAAGTTATGATTTAAATGTTTAAATTGACTTTAATTGATCTAGGCCTTAAAATGGGACCATAACACAAAGCAACCATTCTGATGTTAACAGGGCAATATCTTATTGTATCTTATTGTGTGTCATTTATTTATTAAAAAATTAGGTTAAATGTTTCCTATGTTAGATGCATTGACTACAGTTCTTTCGCTGAGCAATCCAGTTTTGTATTTCACTTCGATTGTATACGTTCTTGGTTGTTTCTTGTTTTTAACAGTATTCAACATGAAAACATCTTGTAGAAATTGTCATTGTTGTATATTTATTATATATCCATCATATCTGTTCAACCTTGGGTTATTTAATCTCTTTAACATATTCACACATTAACCCAACATTCAAAACTTTAAAGGCAACTGAAATGTCATGTCACATCCTTCCAGAGCGTGCACCATACTACAACATTCAAAAAGGACTTTACTATGGTATTTTATAGCTTCAGAGTGCTGACCTGCTGTTCAGAGTGAGTGAAGTCCAGGAGCTGGTGTGTGTTTGTGCTGATCTCAAACCCGCGTGTATCTTGAGCATCACTGCACCTTGTTATGCTTGTACTACTGCTGCTCTGACCACATGTCACAGCTTATGAATACATGCTATATGGACAGAAATTTGACCATTAAATTATTGACTGGTAAAAATGGCTCCTGAATTGAAGTGATCCTAAAAAAATAAAGTGGTAAACAAAGCTCAGATTGTGTCCTGTTTGTTTAATTGATTGACTGCCAATATAAGACATTCATTCTGCACAGTTGTCTGTTTATAAGAAAATATAAGAATATCATCATCCCTCCCATAGTTTCTATTTCCAGTGTTCTTTAATGCCTATTCAATTATTTACATGCAATAATGTAATATCATTGAAAGACTTGTTAATTTTGGGGCTTTTCTCTAAAAAATATTGATACATGCAATTTATTTAGTTATTAATTAAAGCATGATTAAAATTAATTGATTGATGGCCCATTACATATATTTTAGTTTCTCTCTGAACCCAATATTTCCATGCCACTACTGACATGAAGTTAGACAGAATATATAAAAATTGTCAACAAGTGGAAATTTTTAATACAATGTAAAATAATTGCTATACATTTTTTAAAACGTTATATGTTCACTTCAAAGGCTCTGGAAATTTCAGTAACACAGTGCTGTACCGTTATTTATAAAAATATATTTGTGTAATATGACAGCAAAGAGAACTGTAGCTTGTCCATTATATTGGGGAAGTGACCCTAAAAAGATTATATAAGCCCACCTACTGTTAAATATATTTTTTCAAATATAAATAACTTTTAAATAAAGACATTGGTAAATAAAAGGCAACCTGAAAATATTTGCTTGGTATTTAAATTAGCTTTTAAAACCGAGGGTTTAAAAGGACCTGCTCTATTAATAACCCACGAAACAAGGAACCTCATACAAAAAACAATTGAGCCTCTTGGGACATGTATGGGAAATACTTGCCTATAAATTGTCTAAACTTAAAACATTTTAGTCTTTCCAAGATTTAGAGAAGGTTATTCATGCTTTTATCACATCACATTTAGATTACTGTAATTCACTGTAATTGGGTCCTTTTCAGTCATCTCTTGCTCGCCTCCAGATGGTTCAAAATGTAGCTGCAAGGCTGTTGACTATCACTCTTAAGAAAAATGGTTCTATAAAAGTATTTTCACTTTTATTTTTTCATTAAAAAAAAAAATAATTAAAAAAAATGGTTCTAAACAGTACCAAATTAGGGTTCTTATACTTGTAACAAGCAGAACACGTTTTGGTGGTAAATAGAACCCTTTTTATAAGGTTCCATAAAGAGCCATGCTTTGAAAGTTCTTAATGGTGTTATAAATAACAATATTTATCTTTTCAACAATATTTTCATTTATATTAGTATCTTCATTTTATTAACATTACTATTATTCATATTTTTATATATTATTTATTCATATAGTTGTACTCGTAGTCCTATATCTGCCTGGTCTTATCAGGGCAAAGAAATATGAACATGTCACCCCAATTTTAGCATCGCTCCATTGGCTCCTGGTCCATTTTAGGATCCAGTTTAAAAATGTTGATTGTTTTTAAAGCTCTTAATGATCAAGCTCCTTCTTATCTCAAATATCTTCTTCCTCCACATTCATCTAGGAGATTTTTAAGATCTTCTGACAGGTTTCTATTGTATGTCCCTCGATCCCGTTTAAAAACTAAGGGTGATAGAGCTTTCTCAGTTGCTGCCCCCTCGTTTATGGAATCAACTGCCACTAGACATCCGCAAAGAATAATATATGGAGCTGATAGAAAGAACCTGAAAAAGGGTACTGATAGATTATCAACCAAAGAAAAGATACATTTGATGACTCTCTTAAGAATAAGCTAGAGAGTCATGTTGAAATTGAAACTATTTGTGTTTGGTTATTGTTAAATAAGTGCAAAAAAAAAAAAAAAAAGTTGGTTTTAGGCCGTGAGACAGAGGGTTGATTGGTACCATTTTGAGGGATTAAACCGCATGGTGATTTTTGTTTAGGTATATGACCCTGTATTTGAAAAATGTGTGATAGCATTAGATTCAAGGTAGTTTTTGGTTACGGAGGACGATTTTCAAACATATGTCAAGAAAAAGGATAAATGAATTTATCTTTAAATAAATTTTACATTTTTAACATTTTTTTTTTAATTAAAATGTTATACATTTTTATTTTAATAAATTTTTTAAATTATAAAAGGATACATATTTCTCTCTTGTAGTCACTGAACACCTTACCTTGAGGTAGGATGATATAAGTGTTGATTTCTAATGAAAGCTACCATGGATCGGATGCTATCACACATTTTCCAACACTAGAGATGTGTACCTTCATGAAAATCAAAAAGAAATGTAATCCCTCAAAATGGTACCGGTAGCCCAAATTTGGGGTCCCGTCTCATGGCCTATTTAGGGTTTAGTTACCCTTTAATAGCTAAACTGTTTAATAAAGTGCAATGAGTTTACATCAAAAACCATAGTGGGTATTTTTGGAATATACTGTTGGGCTTATATGATACACATGTACCTTATAAGCCCATTCCAGACATTTCTTTGTTTGCAATTAAATAATTTAATTTGGTCAGTTTATGAGAAACCACAAGTGTTTCTATGATAAATTAATATTTGACTTTTTTGGAAGGCTGTGAGAAAGCATAAAAGATTTGGAGTTGGGTGGGCTGAATAGGGTCACTTCCCCAAGAAGACCATAAAGTCTGTAACTTGAGGCCTAGAGAATTAATATTTGCTTATTTACATGTGCAATTAAACACTGCAAGTTTAATTCGCAGCATCCTCTGTACACATTCAGCAATCTGTGGCAAATATAACAATCCTGGTCATAAAAAAAGCAATGTCCAAGTTTTAAAGCATTTTCACGCACAGTCGTATGTTCATGTTTATGCTTAGCATATTCTTTTCCCATAAAAATGGTATTAAATGGCTTTTTTTTTCTTCTTCAGTCAAATACTGAATAGTGTGAATGGTACATGGTGCATCCAGTTCTTCATATTGTGTATATTCAATTGTTGCAATAGAGCTACGAGATGAATTTGGAGGCCAAGTATTATATACCGGTTTGCTCTGAAGTCTTCCCACGCTCTGAAGAGTCTTTGCTGAGTGAGTGGTAAGCATTGTATTGTTCAAAGTGTCTCTGTAAGTTGGCAAGAATGTCTTTCACTTTGCAAAACTTCCACTTTCGTATTTGTTGTGTCGGCACCTCTCTCTGTTTATCCACAAATGGAACAAAAGGGAGGTTTCAATAATTAAAATGATACATAAGAAAACTGAAACTGTAGGAAATAGGTTGTTTCAGCTACCTTTCGATGGCACCAACATCTCAAGGACCCATTTATTTCTTCCACAAGTTTATATAAATCATGTTTCAGCTGTCCATTTACATGATCTGATTCGCTCCCAAATCTCCTCAGTTTTCCGTTAACCCTGCAGATTCTTCTGTGGATGTTATGTCCCTGTGACCAATTATGGAAAAACAGCAGATGAGTGAACTCAGAATAATGACAAGAGATGATTGATCATACATGCAGTATGGAGGAGAAACTACTTTAAATATGGCTGTTTAACTAACAAGTTCCATCTGTGTCTAATGAGAACCCACATGCCTAAACTTTACATTGAGAAGTTCCGGAATGAGTGGGAAAGCCAGGTCGTAACATTTACAAACCAAATGTACAGAATGCTAAAGTGAAAGAAACACATCAGTGTCACATTTTAGTGAAGAACTTTACTGCCACGTAGAAGAGGCTGTCACGTGTGTTTAAGAGAGAAACCAGACTTAATCAGGAAACAGATTGACTTACATTTCTTGGCTCCTTCGACTTCCAGACATTTCTTATTGTGCAGTTTGAATTTAGTTGTTCAATACTGGCCACCTGAAAAATCAACAAATAAATAAATAAACTAATAGTAAAAACACAACACAAGAATTTTCACAGGAAATTGTTAAAATGATTATGTAAATATGTAATCAGTTGCATTGTGTCAGATATGTTCATTTTGTTTTGTAACATTTTGAGCTAATGTTTAAAGCATTATTTTAGTGTTACCATGATGATGTTTTGTGGGTATGTTTATGGTTTGTGGAAAAGCCCATTTTTAACTTTCATTTATCATGTAGCCTATTTTATCACCCTTATTATTATTACAGATACAGATTATTACAGATAAGTTGAAGTTCAATGAATCAACTGGTCTCCGTTAATGAAATGAATGATTATGAACTGTAAAATATAAAGCAAATATGCCTGAAACCACCTTTTTTTACAGTTAATTTTCATCAACCACAGCAGTCAGTTTTTCACTGTAAATATAACAGGTTTGTTTTACAGTATGTATGCACACACAAGTGGAAATAAGCCTATAACATGACCTGATTTAATCTATTCACATGGTGGTAGGCTATAAATTTGATATTAGGTCATAGGTCATACTTACAACGTGCTTCAACTGTTTCTCAATTATATGGCGGTAATCCTCGGTGATATGATTTTTTGTGTGGCCACTTTCGCAGGAAAACGCAAGAGGTAGAATAATAAGCATCAAAACAGAAGTACCAAGATGATGCTGCGGATACAAAAATGCACATGGGTAACCCTACAAAATATGTAATAGTGTTAGACAGTTTCATTCAGCCGTACGAGTCGTTGTATAGGATTTACACAACACTGTTATCTAGCCCACATTATGCGTATGCGCCACTCGAATCAGTCATTACTTCTGACGGATATTTTGACTGACTTTCGGGATTTACACATTAATAAGCCCTCAGTGAACATTCACTTTCGTAATAAACATGCTTTCTTGTAAATCACTTGCGAGTTTCGTTTTGATTGTTGGTTATAATCACCGGGAATCCCCAAGTAACGATAGCTATAAATACAAGCTTTTCCTGTAGTCCGGCTCAAACGCCAGCCGCAGACACTCAGTGCGCGTGAAGGTAAGAGTAGCCTAATGCATTAATATTCTGCTCGTTTCCTCATGCTCCACTGAGACGGGACTGGGACACTTTGGTCAACTTTTGCTTTGCATGAACTTACCATTGGTCATTTTTGAGCCATATTCACATTCAGACCGAAGCCGTCACTGCAAACTCGTACCAAAATGGACAGATGGAAATCCATGTTTTCCCAATTCCTATTGATTTTCAACGTGAATCAAACTGATGGTCATTTGTTTATGACTCGAATGCTTTCCTCTTATCAGTCATTAAAACGCTCATAGTCCATGGGAGTTAAACTTCCGTGGTGGATCTCATCGCTTTCGTTTTCTCTCTGAATGACTGGACTATATCTCTTCAAGCCATGCTCCGTGTGAGTTCGGACCGAGCGGAGAGGACTAGTTACCGAAAGGAGGGGCCTTCCCGGTTTCCACATGACGGCTGGTGACAGCTAGAGTAATTCTGGTTTGATCGGATTGTATCGTCGGAAGACGTCGTGCGTGACTAACACAAGGCTTAATTAGTAATTAACTATCAATAATGTCGCGCACCGCATGCAGTGCAAGCAATTCCATTCACTCCTATCGCAAAAAAAAAAACATTTATTGTCAGTCAACTTCTCTTAAATCACCAATATAGCCTAACTAGGATCTGCGCACCCTAATTACGCATTTACATATTCAGAGAACAATCTTTTGAGGTTCAATCTTTTGAAATTAAACAAAATTGTTTAATTTCTCAGTGGCGCAACCAGGACAGTTAGGGGTGGCCAAAGGGCCAACAACCAGTCTGGGGTGGCACCGGCGATGCCAGAAATGTTCAAACGGGAGGTCCTTCATAAAACAGGGTGGGCCAATCGTATTGAGTAAAACTGCATGTTAAATTATCAGAACAAACAAAAACAAAAAAACTGCAGCACAGTTTCAAGTTCAAAGTTACAAAACAGAAAATAACCTATAATGCGAAAATAACCTATAATGCGAAGAAATGGGAGTGACGTATTCGGCGGCAAACGTTTCATCTCCGCCAGCGGGGCGCACAGGTAGCCGACAGTTTGGGGCCGGCGGTAAAAAGAAGCCGTGCAGATATTTTTTGCTATCTGGGGTGTCACTATTATTAACATTTTACCTAAATCAAGCTCAAATTGAGTTATGAGGTTTTTGACCAGTGAATTTTGGAGAATGTCAGATATGCTTTGTCCGTCATTAACAGCTGCATCTGAGGCAGTAGGCCTAAATGCATTACGTTTTCATCAACAGGTTATAAAGTTACTGTATGCGGGCAGTTTTTTTTTTTTTCAGTCATTTGGCCAAAATCGCATATTATTAAAGATGAAGTGCTACACACGTGGCATTTAAGAGATTAGCCTATTCCCTGCATTTGACTTGATGACAAATAAACTACAAGAAACTATTCTCCGCTCCTCAAACACATAAACAGGGGCGTTGCTAGACATAAAGCTCTACTGGGGCACAGGTCCCCCATTGTTTGTCAGAGATAGCAACAGTAACTAAGGAGGGCGGGGCTTACCGATATACCGATAGACGGTCAATTAAATATAAATTTCATATCCGAAAGAATAAGTCATTGTTATCACACACAATCAAAGACAGTAGTACAGAACACAACAATGTGTTTATTTTCTTTGCTACAGTGCTGCAGGCAGGGGCGAATTTCAGGGAAAATTTTGGATTTTTCAGACCTATCTGCATTTTAAGGTGTTTAGGCCAACAAATTGGATAACAATAGCTTTAAAAGCATGTTAGTGGGCAGCAGTAGCATAAATGATTTGTCAAGCAGATAACAGATTTTAAACATGTGAATGTTGCAATGTTAAATGTTAAATGTTGCAATGAATGATCCATACTACAAAATGTTAATGTGTATTGTCAACATTCAAAACTATTTTAACTCATCCAAAAATTGTTAGTAGTAACTCTACACACAAACATGATTAGCACACATATATATATAGGCTATATTATATATATATATATATATATATATATATATATATATATATATATATATATATATATATATATATATATATATATATATATATATATATATATAAAATTTGCACTATAAACAGAAATTCAAGGGGGTAAAAAATGAATTTCTTTCTTTCTCAAAACTGAGTTGATTTCTATGTGATCAATTTATGTAGGCTTAAGTGTTTTCACACATGATCACTGGTGTAGGTTGTCAGTAAATGAGTAGAGAAGTCCATCTACAGAAGCCAATAATGAATAAAAATAAGATTATTTGTATTATTTACAAACTTTTGTTTCGTCATGTTTTCATAGCCTACACATCAATACGCGTGCAAACACCGGACTTCGGTGAGCTCCGATGTGTGCGCGCGATGCAGTTGCTAGGAAACAGACGCGCGCGGACATGCCCATATGAAAAAAACCTGCATGGTTCATATACAGCAACCATCTTCCTTACTTAAATTGGACAGAATTACCTTATGTGTTTCATGTAAGACCAATACATGTCCTATACAAAATCAGACCGATTATGACCCCTTTCATACTAAATAACACACATACAACTTATAGGGGATTTTTTCGTCATATATGAATAGGCTACTGTAAAAAGTCTTAGGCTATATGAGTTGTAGGCTACATGACAAAAGTATGCAATGGTGTATGGTATTTGTAGAAAACACCCGGTATTCATATACAAATCATTTAAAGTTCTTATATTGAATCATATGATTTTACATGACAAACATATCCAATCGTATATGGTATTAGTAGAAAATAACTTAAATTCATATACAAATCATTTTAAAGTTCTTATATTGAATCATATGCTAGTCAAATTAAAGTCCTATAGGATTTGTCCATGGATTTGTCACGCGGGTCCGCTTCTGTTTTCGGTTAAACTTAACATAGACGCGCAAGTGTAAGCGCGCTGAAAATTGATTGACAGGCCTGGCTTAACGACAATTAAAATACTTGCATTTAGTCAAACATCCATCCACATGATGGCGCACTAGTTCTTCTTGGCAAAGGGAGGGGTTGGTTTATGTGGAGCGAGCAACTGAGTAGCCTAAATAAATGCGGAGGCAACCGTGCTTATGCTTATAGCCCATTTGCACGTAGAAGCGCGGATTCGCTCTCTCACTTAGAAAAAGTGAGAGAATTGTCATAGAGTTGTTTTAAATACTGCAATTTTGTTAAATGCCCAAGATAGTTTAAAAGAATTCTGGTCTTCTCGGGTCCATTTAGAAAAGGCATATTTATTTTAAATTACACGAGACCCGAGGCCACTAATACCGAAAGTGGACCCGTGAAGACCTCTACTTCATTCATGTTAGAGGCGGGGATGAGTTATGAGGTTTGACTGACAGTTTGAAGAGCCAATGGAGTTATGAGGTTTAGTCACAAGCTCTTTTTAATAATTTTCACTGGTTAAAGGGGTCATGAACTGGATTATAGAGCTTCACAGTCCCGCCCCAGCCCGAGAGAGCTTTGGTGCCGGTGTTGTGCCTAATTTCGACCCCCTGCCAAATTATTACCCCCCTCGTTGAAGTCCTGATTGCCTAATCCCAACCCCGCCCCTAATCCTACCCCCTCCCCCACAACTAATCCTAAACCAATCCTAGGGGGGTAATAATTTGGCGGGGGTCGAAATTCGGCACAACACCGGAAGTAAATTTCCCATTCATTTCTCCCATTGATGTTTTGGAAAATCCGTATCTAAAGAGTTTTAGACCATGTCTGAGGATAACCAGCTACGGCTGAATTCATAAGCATGAAAAAACGAAGAGAAAATCCAAAAAAAGGTCAAAGGTACTAGACTGTACATATTTTCATTTCCGAGCGAAGGAACTACTCATCCCATAAACCACCGCGCCTCACTGAAGTCGACTGAAGCCACAACCGCGAAAGAGCCTTTTGAGCGACTTCCAAATCTGACGACGGCCACGTGAACTTTTTCCTCCAGTGAATTATATAGTAAATGTGCAGGGAAACTCCTTTTCCTCGATTTACTGAAGCTTATATGTAAAACGCATTTGTAGCTGCATAGCTAACACATTGAGCATCTGGCTCGCTCATAGGCTGTGCTGCGGCACCTCCTGCACATCCAATGGCGCGGGCCAGAGTCATAGAGAGAAAGAGTTGTGACACGCTTTGATGTCGCCGCGACGGCTGTCACGTGGTTCATGTAAGCCCCAATAGTTCCAAAACATACGCGGGCTGTCATGTTCTTCTATGGACAGACAGCAGCGATTGCATTATTAAACGGTAGATATAAAATAAAACACACACCCAAGTACTTTTTAAGCTGTTTTTGCATTTTGTTAAAGGGGTCATATAATGGTACATGCACTTTTACAAGTTGATTGTACTGAAATGTGTGTTGGCAGTGTCTGTACACAACCATCATATAATGATAAAAATCCATCCAGTGGTTTTGTTTTAATCTCCTTATATGTTTTCCCCTGCCTCAAATCGAGCCGTTCGAGCCTGTGACGTCACAAGCTCGCACGCCCCTCCCACGATTGTTGATTGACAGGAGCGTTTCAACACAGACCCACCCTCGCTCATGGGGGAGCTGTCAATCATAGTCTGCGCGGCGCGGTCATTGTTGATATGCTGGAGCACTGTCTATGAGCAGAATGGCGTCTAAGTGATTGTGGTGTTCTGTTCTTTGGGTGTAATAACGAACACAGCAGTCATTTTAATGTTCCTAAATCCGAACCGCTGAAGACGCAGTGGCTGTGTTTGTTTTCGAAGGGAATATTCCCCACGAGCAACGTCAATGCTTTCATATTTGCGCGAATCATTTCTCAGCAGACTGCTTTATAAACGAGGATCAGTATAAAGCTGGATTTGCTAAGAAGATGCTGATGAAAAAGGGATCGGTACCAGATATTCGTGTTCCTGCTGAATCTCCAGAAGAACGGAAGTGAGTGTAACGTTTTATTAAACTTTATATTAATATATTAATCTTTGCAAATTGCTAGCTGCGCGCTTCACAATGAATGCGTCTAAGGTTTACACTCCGGGTACATTACGGCATGTTTTCTATGTATGACGTTCTCAATATAATTCATAATCCCACGTTTATACTGAACAACGCGTTATGGTTATTGTGTTATTGTGTTACAAACGATGTACACACAGAACAGAGAGGCGGGGTGAGCAAAGCTCATTATCATTTAAAGTCATATGCACTGAAACGGCGTGCTGAAAACAGAGCTGTTTTTGACCAGGTAAAATAAGTGTTTTCTTACAATACTAATGAGAATTTTTAATTAAAGTATATTACAAACTTTTAATTTAGACCCTAAAGAATCATATTAGCTTGTACAAAAATGGCATTATATGACCCCTTTAATGTCAGTTTTGCATTTGGAGAGGCAGGGTGACAACTTAGATAAGTTTTAGGCTATATTTTTTGGAGGGAAAAGCTTAGTGTTCATGTTCGCATGGGTAGCACTGGATTTAGCGGCTCTAACTTAACTTTTCC